CAACTTCATAATACCCTTTTGGATTTGAATGGAATGATTAATGTAATTGCTATTGATCCTAGCTAAGTATAGTTACTTTTCTTACTCGAGTTAAAAATGACCATCACTATCATTTTAGAATAGCGATGTATCTAGACTACAACGTTAATTACAATACAATGAAATAGAATAGCGAATGTAGCCGATAGAATATTTCACCTTAACATCAATTATTCAAAAAAATTAAATTGCCTACGGGATCCTCTATAGTGCTAATGTAGTATTAATTAACCTATCATTTTTTAAGAACTGATCTTGAAGTAATGATAAATTCAATATTTTCGTAGTACGTACACTATTTTTCCCGTCGAAATGGCAATGACCTAGCAATTCATATATGGTCACTATAAATTATTAAAGACCGCCTCATGAAACTTTGGTCTTTTAAAGCAGTTTATTGTTGTGATCATTCATAATTACGGTCATTATTTTTGGCATAGAGAAATTTTTATGAATTGTTACTTTGGTATAAAATCTCTTTATTTCAGCATCTATATTCTGATATCAATGATATGACATATATAGCAAAGAGCTAAGAATAACAAAATTAAGTTAATGAGTAATTCCTAGTGTGCCATATTAGTCTAAAACAAACAGCAGAAATAGAACAAAGAGGTAAGAAAGAAATCACACATGTTATTGACTGTGTAGAGTTTCATCATTAGAATCTAACAGAAGCTGGACTATAATATATATATATATATCGGAGGGAATCGTAGAAAATTATATCGCAACTTGGATAGTAGTACTAGCCTGAATGCCTCTTAATAGTTGAAAGTAGACATTTTAAACAGTAGGAGATCGCTCCAGTGTTGATCCTCTGAAAGTAGGCTATCTTTATTAGCGTTCATTCTATTTATTTAGACTGATTTAAAATGGTAGGTTGTTTCGACATTTCTAAGAAATAGCATTAATAAAAAGCTAGCGGGCAAAAATTTGTTATACTTGATTATATAGTGCTAAATTGTTAATTATGATCGTGAAGGTGGTGTTCCAAAATTGTTCTACTCACTCTTGTAGAGTATCTTTAAATAAATTGACTTATCACTTCTTGACGCCCATTTTAATTCTGTTGGATATAAATATTTTCATTGTATTTTACTTTGAGCTATAGCCAATATTTCATAGATAATAGCCACGCCGTACAATTGAGGTTCTTAATAATTCAGTTCTGTTGAAAAAATCTTATTCATTCGCCTTGTCTTGACTCTCAATGGAATTACCTTTAAACTACTGTTTTGCTGCAATTTTTTTTACTTGTAGAACAACGTTACAATTTATTGTTAAAAAAATCTAAAAATTGATATTAAAAATTGTTATCGTAGGAAATTGTTCAAATACAGGATGCCGTTAAAGATGTGAAGGTAGCTTTGCGTTATATGGAAAGTAAGTTTATAAATCTTTTGGAATATTGTATTTTGTAGCCTCAAGACTGAGTTAATATTATCTTATCAATTAATACTTATAACGTTCCAAACTAGTTACCTATGTTATCAGCTTCTGAATTTACAGTAATTATAACCAAGAGTTGAAAATGACATCAAATACTAGGATCTAAAAACGTGTTTTAACTAGGCTAGTAACTAGTATTGCTTGAACGACAACAGCAACGTAAATTGTTGTATTTTTTCTCATATTGCAGCTGTCTTACAGAAGAAACATCCTGAATTCACTATCGGGACAACATCAACGGTTATCGAGACTATTAATTCTTTAAGTATTGTCATTGGATCTGTAATAGCTAAAGAGAGGTAAAGATGAATTTTATCATCAAATGACCGTAATCCCTGTTTGCTAACAGCTTCTTATTAAATTCATTAGCTTGCTTTCTTACTGATCATTAAAATATTTTTACTTACATGTGGATTGAGCAGCATTTTAACATCCAAGCAACGTGCGGCATATTTATCATTAGCGGCTTTAATGCGCCACGTTGATAAACTTCTTGTCGATGAAAGCAGGGACCAATTTGATGCTGTAAAAGCCAATGCATTAGCTAAAGAATTTTTATCACGAATTCAGGTACATTGATTCCTCACGGTGTATGTTCTCTACAGTAACTTTACATGTGTAACAAAAATTGCTAGTAAAAAAATAATTTACTGTAATGAAATTTTGCAATATTAGTAACTTGACAATTTAAAATTTATAGGAATTAGTGTCATACGCTGAAACAAAAGCGAGAAAAGATTCAGTGATGCAACTTTTTTCAACCGGGGCGAGCAAAATGTAAGCAAATAATATGTATATTGCACATCAAAGAGATAAATTTCTAATTGAAGGAATCTAGAGGAATGAAAATATATGAATGCTAGCAAATATTGTATTAACAATTACTATGTTATGATTAGGAACGGATTGCAGCTTTTAAAGAAGGATAAGGTATTGGATGCTACTGATAGTGATTTAATAATTAACTTTAAATAATTACTTTAATCATACTTACGGTATATTTTATTAAATATCTAAATATTCTGGCAATTTAGCGAAATGGTAAAGGTCCAAACAGTCATGCGGTAGAAAAGGACAATGGAGTCGATGACATCTTTTCTAGCAATTCTTTTAATAACTCAAAGACTGATAGCAATGAAAATTGTAATTCTTTGGAGAACGCTATCTTTAATTTAACAGAGAAATCTACGCCTAAAACTACCGATAATTCCAAAGAGTCTACTCCTTCAAAGTTTCGCTTCAAGTCTCGAAAAAATTGGTTTAAGAAGGCGTTAAGTTTGGATATTCCTGTAACTAGAGAAATTAGGGCAGAATCGTATGATTCGTATTTATCCGTTAATGACCCATTAAACAAGTCTTCATTGCGTATAGAATCAAATGAATCCGTCAATCATGCCAATTCAGATGGTTTGGTTAACAATAAAAAAATTCTAGACGATTCCAGTTCGCCATTTTCAGATAAATCTGATGCACCTTTATCAAGCCATTTGAGCGCAGTTAATACGGATTCTGTGCCAGCTAGATTTCGTAGTAAGAGTGATCATACAACTTATAATCAACGAAATCAGATATCATCAAATACTGAAGGCAGTCATGATAGTGAAAAAAATAAGGAAACTAATAATGATGACGAACTTGACGCTAAGCCAGGTAAGCACAAAAAAGACTTAACTTTATTGCAGGTTACTATATACTCCCATGACATTGAACGATTATAAGAATAGATGGAAATGTGTTGCGTAATGCTATGCTTATTTTGAAATTGTTTTAGTCACCGCTTACATTCAACTCATGGCCACCGAGTATGATGAAGCTGATGCAAAGGCACCGTTAAGTGGTGATGATGAAGATAGTTCCCTTGTAGCCATAGCACTGGAAAAGCATACAAAGTCTCCTTCTACACTACGTCGAAATAAGGTTTCTATCTATGCATTTTAATTTACAAAGTGTAGGGGATTGTAAAATTTATGTATTTGGTTAATAAAATATTGCTTTATTATTCTTATGTAAAGGTATATAGATCAAGGCCTGATCGTGCATCCTTACCTGCTAAGGTAAGTTCCCTTTTGTAATGCAATATGTTCTCTGTTACTTTCTTAATGCTAAGAATAGAAAACAAGGTAATTCCTCTTCTACTTACACAGCGACCTTCAGTGCTTGCTAAAGTATCTGCAGATGGCACAATTGCAGAGGAAGATGAAATTGAAAATACCGATCGAATATCGACAGTTTTTGATAATGTGTAAGATAGATAAAATCAATTAATTTTTTAGTAATTAACATTTATTATTATAGAATGTTATAGTGGGTAAAGATTATTTATAGGATACTATGAAATCGTTACAGCTTGAAAGATATAAGGAAAGCAAAGCCGGCTTCAGTTGTATCGGAAGACGATGTATTGATTTCATTCGATGTATCTTCATATCTTCATTTTGCAACCTTAGATAAGGTAGGTTATTATATATTCTCTTTACCTCTTGCGAATTCCTAAATTGTTACTTAAATTGATTGTCTTAAATATATCGATATCTAGACTTCTTGTCCCTGCAATATTAAAGGAGGATCAGTTAATGCACTTATTGTTTATGCTACCAACACATATAAGACCAGTAAGTTTAGTTGGCTATTGTGATACTAATATCATATATAGATATATAATTTAAATATTGACTCTAGCTTGTATATATTGCTAGACAAGTAATGTTATTAATTCTTTTAGATAAAGCCTTCCTAGAAGCTTTGATCATGACCTACAGGACTTTTATAACGCCGTCTGAAATCATTGAAAAGCTTCTTCTAAGATATCCTAGCGTGTTTGCTTTATCTTCAATCTTATTATAGAATATACGCTAGCTTGTCCTATTATACGAGTATTATGATTTTATTTTTCTTAATTTTGCGTACATTTAAAAAGTTTGATCAAATGAGAGTATACAGTGTCAGCCAGCAGACTCTTGCTTTAATTTTGCGAATTTTGCATACAGGCTGGTAAGGATTTTACACTTATGCTGTATATCATATATTATAAATGTTTCTTTCTACAATATTTGTTGCGTAATATTGTTTAGCTAACTAGTTGATTTGTTATATTGTATTAGTGGTGAATTAAATAGCGGTACAGTCTTTCGTCTCGCCGAGTTAGAATGTAATTTTTTGGAGACTGGTCTATTAAAGGAAACTGTTATGCTACGGGAAGCTTTAGTGCAAGAGGTAGTATATAGCTCTTGTAAAACTAGTACAAGTAAAATATAATTTTAGTTTAGCATGGAGTTTCAATTATTCTACAGTGGTTAAGTACATACCATTCAATATGTATAGTGTAATCGAATGAGAAAGAAGAGAAATAAGCCTTTACGTCCTCCACCGTGCGCAGAAAACGTTCAATCTAGGTAGCCTAATGAGCTGTCATTGTTACTACTCTTACGCTTTACAAATGATATGGATGCTAATGCTACTCTTTTATTAGGTCGTATAAAATATTTGATTTTACGGCTCAAGAACTGGCCGAGCAGATTACTTTAATGGATTTTCAACAATTCAAGAAGATTGAGGTTCGTACAGGTGTGAAATAAATTATGATCAATAACATTAAGTTATGGTGATAAAACTTTGTAGATTCCGGAAATACTTAGATGGGGTAAGAAGCAGTCTGAGAAATTAAATCCAAACTTAACAGCTTTCACTGAGCATTTTAATAATATTTCCTACTGGTAAGTCCATATATGGTCGGTTGTTTATGAAGAGTAATGAAAAGGTTTTATCGATCATTTGATACGGAATTCCTGTGTAAACTTTTATCTTGGATATTTGCAGGATTCGTACATGTATTTTGTTAGAAGAGAGACAGCAAGATCGTGAGAAAATAATGGGCACATGTATTAAAATATTGAAGGTTGGAAGGGTTTATAAATTTCCTTATTAACCAAGTTGTAGATTACTTTACGCAAACTCCAACATTTGGATTTGGTATGCTATCATTTTCTAGTGTTTGCGCCGCATGAATAACTTCAATTCGTACTTGGCAATTTTGTCAGCCCTTGATTGTGCTTCTGTACGGCGTCTCGATTGGCAGAAACAATTTACAACCGTACGAAATTAATGTTACCAAAAAATTGATAGCTATAGCTTAATTATTATGACGGATTTAGTTAAGAGCTTATGTTAAAATGTGTAATTTTTAGGCCATTGAAGAATTATCTAGTCTTATTGATAATACCATGTCTTTTAAAATTTACCGAACGGCATTGGCCGAGGCTAAGCCTCCTTGCATACCGTATCTGTAAGTTTCATTTTATATTTATTTTTAATAATCTTCACTATTCAATGGAGATTTTAGTCATTTACTTTTTGGTGCTGAAACATTTAATTATTTGCAATTATTTCCCATTATCAATATAGGGGTCTTATACTCCAGGATGTAACATTCACTATACTTGGAAATCCAGATAAATTGCCAGATGGTAGCATCAATTTTCAAGGAAGGTGGAAATTGTACACAATTGTCAAAGATATTGAAAATTTTCAAAATTGGTATTAATAACGTATTCTTACATATCTTAATATATTCATTTTATTGATGATGTTTTTATCATATTGTCCTAACGTTTTGACAATTATTTGAATTAATGTAGTCCATACGATATCAATGTCGATGTTACTATTGCCGATTTCTTACGTGGAAGTGTTAATCATTTAACTGATGAGGTAAAGTGTCTATAAAATTCCAACTTTGAGATACTACTTGTACGAAAGTATTGACACTATGTTTTGTAGCTTCATTTTTATGATGGATATTCTTTGATATCTTAAAAATCTATAGTCGTTATATCAATTATCATTGGATATAAAGCCAAAAGAAAGATAACAATTTAACATTGATTGAAAGTGGGGAGAAAAAATTGTCATAATATGTAATGTAATAGTCGTATGTTATTATTTTATAATATGCTTACATTTTATACTGTAACAGTGTATCTAAATGAACAGGCTTTTGCAATGTATGTAAAAAAACATGTCCTGCACTGTATTTGCCAAGCCTATTCATTCATGAAACAGCGTAATATTGTTAATGTCGACTACAAAGATTCATTCTTTCTAGTTTAAGTTGAAATCGCCTGGAATCAATAATACTCGTACAGTATAATAGAAAAACTGAACAGGATTCATGTTGGTGTGCGATGCTATGTGATTCTCCGTAGAATATACTGTATGTAAATTGCAATTTGACCGAAATTTAATGATGCTATTCTAGAATATCTGTTATCTACTTAACACGATTGTTTACGTCTACTGTATATTATGTTATGCTGTACACATAGGAAATGTAGGAGAAAATGATGGTGTGTTAGTTATTAATCACCCATTGATAGCGTTTCAATAATAAAAAAAGCTCTCTTAACTTTATAACGTAGTCCATTTTCTAACGACAATGCAATGAAAATATCAGTATCAATCTTTCTGTGCTAAATTGTGTTTAAATATGCTCTACCGTGATCTATACGGCTGATGGGAATCTTTTCTGAACAAGTCATTTCAGCTCATTTACGTATTGATGATTCTATAGTTGATCGATATCTATGATATGACGATAAGTTGGATAATTAAAATAATTGGCAGTATTCTTTTGACAATGCAGTTTTGACCTAGGCTGTTCCACTCCATTACCAAAGGTTAGGGCTAGCCCATACTGATGATATTATACATGTCGGCGATTTGCACAGTGTTGTCCAGTGTAGATGTATCAACTACTATCCTATTTTTGTGCATTATTATCATTACCATGAGAATATCAAGTCCAGTTGTGATACTACCATGATTCGATCAATCTACTCTCACGATACTATGGAGACAATACACACGGTACTACTTAGTACTACTCATTGCTGGCAGCAAAGTGTCTCCTGGTACCGCAAGTTTTATCCATTCTAGTTCAACGATTAAAATTATCCTATTTTTGTGCATTATTATTACCATGAGAATATCAAGTCCAGTTGTGATACTACCATGATTCGATCAATCTACTCTCACGATACTATGGAGACAATACACACGGTACTACTTAGTACTACTCATTGCTGGCAGCAAAGTGTCTCCTAGTACCGCAAGTTTTATCCATTCTAGTTCAACGATTAAAATTATCCTATTTTTGTGCATTATTATTACCATGAGAATATCAAGTCCAGTTGTGATACTACCATGATTCGATCAATCTACTCTCACGATACTATGGAGACAATACACACGGTACTACTTAGTACTACTCATTGCTGGCAGCAAAGTGTCTCCTAGTACCGCAAGTTTTATCCATTCTAGTTCAACGATTAAAATTATCCTATTTTTGTGCATTATTATTACCATGAGAATATCAAGTCCAGTTGTGATACTACCATGATTCGATCAATCTACTCTCACGATACTATGGAGACAATACACACGGTACTACTTAGTACTACTCATTGCTGGCAGCAAAGTGTCTCCTGGTGTCGTAAGTTCTGTCCATTCTAGTTCAACGATTAAACCTGTTTGATCATACAACTGTTCTTCTCATCGCGATGATAACAAGCAGGTGGATACTATTGGATGAATTTAGAAAGGCAAATTGGATTGTGTGATAGCGGATAAACGGACATGACGAAAGCGCAAATTGGAGTCGTATTCGTACCCGCCCTCCATCGTATTATACTGGACGTCAGTCGGAGTCGTGAGTGACGTTTCACTCCGATCGATCACTGGGTGACAATTTACAACCACGAACTGCTTGTAGTTGGTGCTGATGGTTCTCGCAGTTGTCCAGTGACGATCTGCTTAGACCAGAAGCTTCGCATCATGTTGGGCAAGTCTGTCCCCCCCAAAAAAAGACTACGTAATTTGATTTGATGATTTTACAGTACTTTAGTCATGCCTGCTACAGCGGAATTATCTACAGTACGTACAGTACAGTATAGTACTGTATACTGTACAGTCGGAGAAGGGAGTGACACTGGTCTTAACTGGACTCTACGCTTTTTCCCCATGGGAATGCAGTAATAAAGCACAGTATTGTCACGGACTGAGTACAGTACTGCGTACTGTAGCGTGCATAGTTTTAGTGTGCGCATTCGCAAATCAAGGAATTGCAAGAGTTGATGGTATCTGGACGTTGACACCAGTGTACAGTGACCCACTGGTAGGGTACGTACCCACTTGGATCGTCCGTCCAACTACAGTACTGTACTGGCAAGACCTGTACAGTACTCAGGACAGTACTGGACTGTAGGACTGTACAGTACCCTATAGTAAGTAGCGTAGGTACAGTACTGTAAAATCGTGTGACTTGAACCTTTGTCCAAATCAAGGAGAAAAAAAAAACAACTAGCACAATCCCCAATGAATTTTACCTTTCAAAGTAACTAACATCCATCGATGCTGTTGAAGACGAAAGAGTGTGATCGAAAAAGCTGAACAGCAATTGAGTGTATACTTGTTCAATACCAAAAGCGGATTGCAATTCATTCATTGGCGCTATTGGACTGTGATAAATACGCGTAGTCTCGACCCAGATTCACTTGCAGTGAAGGAAGAAAGAGCTAGAATCAGTCCCGACTTGCACTCTTGTTGACATCATTGACAGGAGTCGTTTCCCTTTGGTTGCTATTCTATTCAAAAATTGCCATACTGTGATTACAGGATGGGCTTGAAAGAAATCGTTTGGCAAAGTAAGTCTAACTCTATTACCAATGGACACAGATAAAAAATAAATGCAGCTGCTACGGGTACAAGTTAACTTGCAGCAGTGCACAACGACTTGAAATGATATCATTCGCCATTCACTGGCGACCGATAGGATTCGTCACTAAATTGTGAATATTTGTATTCTTGGCGGACACGCCCGTTATCCATGATTTTAGGAATTATTGAAGACGTTTTGCGTCCATTAAAGAAACCTCGAGAATGGAAGGTAAGAAAAACCTTAGCAATACAAATGATGCCATGATAAATTGGAAACGTAGAATGTAATCCCCCAAAATGGAACGTCGCCTACTAAGATAACTATCGTTGATCAAATACTGTATGTCTTCATACTGTACAGTACAGTCTATGGTGGCCGCATTAAACAGTATACTGTAAATAGTTTGTCGACGGTATGGACTGCAGCTTAGTCACCAATCAAACCCATAATCAACACTCTTTACTCATCATTTAAACCATCTTTTACGTAACGAAGATGAAAATAACCAACAACGTATAACCCCCTCTCTCTAGACAGTAGAATAAGCTGCTATGACCTTTTCCTTGATCGGCCATTTTGTATTGATAGATAGTCAAATGGAGAAGGGGTGACGATAACTTATGACTCGCCTTTTTGGGGGTAATGACTGTATGATGATGAGGGATCATATTAAATCCGTAGGGTTAAAGAGATCAAGAATGGATCTCATATTCCTTGCACTTGGATATGAGAATGGAAAAGTGAAATAATGAGTACACAAGATGTTGCAATTGCAAATGTTCCTATACTACTATAGTCTTACTTTCATGGACATTTTTGTACCATACACGTACTTTTTTACAAGTTGACATTAAGGTATCAATATTGATTTTCGAACTTGGATGCTATATATTGAATATCAAGATTTCATTCGCTGCCTTTCAACACTCGAACCATCGCTAGTAGTGTATATCGATTTTTCTTAATAATAGCTGTAATTAGTAATTCTTAATCTGTTATTTCTAGTTCTTTTTTTCTTCTAAACTACTATACTGTACTGTAAAAAGATATCGTAACGAATCTGTGACTGATTGCCAATTTCCACCTTTCGATCACACTCTCTGATCACCCAGTACAATTATATACTACAGTACTGTATAAGCACTATTGTCCAAGTGAGATATTACAGTCTTGTACTTCTACAACACTGTAAGTATAAAATGGAATCGTGAATGATCACATTGGTCAACTTCCTCGCACATATTGAAGAAAGTAGTAGAAATTGCAGACTTTATACCCAACTCAATCATAGTTTAACATATTGTAATATAGTATACTTCAATCATTATGTTGGATAGGCAACCTGCAAAATGTTAATTATCCATCGGATTAAACGATCCTCTTACATCTTATTTGGAAGACAGTCTATAAATGATAGAATAATTATAATTGATTTCTATTACGATGATTATACAGTAACCATCATAAAGACATCAAACTGCCAATGTTTATACGTTAAATTTGTACACTCATATCGTTGTTGGACTAATATCCAATTCATAAAATGGTACAGTAGACTAAAATAATAATAGATTAAGAAGATCCACAATAATTTAGATAAAGAACGCGTATGTAGTACAGTTCTTCTGACACACCGTTCCGATAGCACCATTTCAAAAATGAAAGTTAAAAAGTCTCCGTAATTAACAGTAAAAGTACAGTATATCATTTTTATTATTATCATCACTTCCTCCATGAGTAGGACTATTACTATGTACATATTCACTGTTTTGCACGTCACACTGTATACATAGATATGACCTCTATTTTCTTATTTATTGAGATGAATGATGATAGAAAGCTATTTCATATCTTCGATACGTGGATAACATTACAAAATACAACAGTGCCAAATGCCATTTTATATCATTGTCTTTCTTCACAAATTTTTTGTAATAGCCTGATAATTTTGAAATAGTTGATATTACTATTGTCAACGACATTGTCTTTTTCGATCAAAAAATGAGGATTGTCTTATTAATACAGTGCCACTATAAAAATGATAACATTGACTATAATTAATCCGTTCACATCACGATTTTCTATCGTAGGTCTTAATAGTCGATCATCTTGGCACTCGAATCTTGTCAGCTTGTTGTAAAATGCACGAATTAGTCAATGAAGGCATAACTGGTAAAATATTTCTTATCGTACATTGTATAGTAGTGGTAATAATTATGCGTATCTTGAGGTAAAATATTAATTTTACAATCGGTTAAGAGACATATACGTGTGTACCTAGGTAACTTCCATTAAAATGTAATATTATTGTATAATCAGAAGATGTTAAAGATTTACTTTTCTTTAAATTATTTTTTAGTTTAGTTTTTTTTATATTTATTTCAGCCACATTATCGCTTTATAGAACTAATTGTTTCCCAATAGTCTGCAATACCATGATATTGATCTCTCATAATATCTTCATACGTTACAGTCAAGTTTACTATACGCGTATGCTAAATGACATTAAACTGCCGTGTTCTGTGAGATATGTAACAATGATAGCAATATACAGTATAGTACGCTATTAATATTTTAAGCTGTAATGTCATTGTAAGTACAGTATATTGTCAGAATCTCTAGCCAATGCTAGAAATTTTTACTAATTGTTTGTTTCTAATACCTCACTGTGCAAAATACTAGTGGTGGAAAACTTATCTAGAGTTCGTCAACCGTTATCAAAGATGGAATCTATCTATTTAATTACACCAACAGAAGAGGTAAACACATATATATATATATAGATATTAATCCAATATGACGTATTGCAAATAATATTTAAACTACTCCACAGCGATGCAAATCCTTGTATAATCTATTCATAACTGTTGTTTATATCAAACTGACGATGATTGTATCATCATAAATTGAATAGACCTTAACTTACTACGAGACCTAGTAATTCAACACAGGCAATAACATAGATTTTAACGAGCTTTTAAAGAATGTTCGTTGACCTACAATATATTAACTAGAAGATTTTCAATATACAATTTCTTATAACATACGAATATTAGATGACTACAATACATACTTTACAGTAATTTAAAGTAATTACATTACAGTAATACATTTGTAAATGATGGTTATTATCTTACGTGTATATATAATAAGAAATGTTGGAATATTTGTCCTTCTAAAACGAATAATTTGCACTTATGGTAACGTAATCATAATGTGTACTATTGCCTTTGCTTCTGTTTAACGTCATGTTTTTATGTTATAAAGTTAGGCGACAATAGCGTTTTGCATATTTTTTGCGTTCTTGTACAATATAGTCAAAACTATGTCCGAACTGACTAGCTGAAGGCAGTCAGTAATAATAATTGTCATCGTTGATATTACGATCACGATTCTTGACATAATTAAGTAGTATTTGTTTCTTGTAGTGCTACTTTAAAGGCGTTTTTTTTTGCTCTCTATTTCGAAAAGTTCAATATGCTATATTTTCATTACTAAGTACTAAATTGAGCTATTGTTTGTATTCGATCAAAACTATACTATACTTTATTGATTTCAGTGTAATGATAGTGCGAAAATAACTATGAAGGCTAAACATTATTAATTTTAGTATAACTTTCAAATCTAAAGTATTTTTAATTATGTCGTATAATTTTTAATATCTCTCTCAAATAGTCATAACATTACTTCTTAACTTGTAGTCTATCGATAAAATCATCGCGGATTTCAGCGAATCAAGCAAACCTCATTATAAGTGTGCTCACGTTTTTTATACTGAGGGTAAGATTATCCCTATTGGCTATGCTCGTAAGAGCTATTCTTAGCATCGTTTAAGCGTATGTTATTTCATCTCATGATTTGATCATAAAGTATTCTACTGTATAAGCAATTACAGTCATTTTTAAAATTTTGTGCAATAATTGACGTTGTTTCTTGTAATAACGTTAATCACTAATATTATTGCTTTTTGGATTAAATAGCGTGTCCAGATGAATTATTTCAAAAATTTTCCAAGTCACCTGCGGCAAAATGTAAGCCAAGCTGGAAAAGATAAACAATCTAAATAGTAGAGATTAAAAGGATATTGAAAAGCATAAATCTAGAGTGACAGTAAACAAATAATTATGGATATCATGATTATAACTAGATGGCACTGTTAGGGCAATATTCTCATGTGTTACTGTTATGCGCAAGATAGAATATCCATATATTATATATCTCAAAATATGTAACATTAATGTATTTTCGTTTCATGAATTTGTTGGTTAGATGTGAAGACTTTGAAAGAAATCAATATATCATTTTTACCTATTGAATCGCAAGTAGGCAATAGTATTGCTGAGCTAATAAGTTACTATTTATCGATTATATGATTATTGAACATTACTTTATTTGTATTTACCGATAATTACTCTACTAAATAGGTTTTCAGTCTGGACTATCCGGATATTTTACCGAATTTTTACGGTAGTATTGCTCAATCACGAACGAAATGCATGGAGGTAAGTACAGTAGAAGAAAATTGCTGAATGTTTTAAAGTGATCGTTTTCATTATTTGTACTGTAAAATTTTCCTTTTTAAAGCTTGCTCTTTAATTAGGCTACTTCATAGTAATTTTTTTTTAATTTTTGTATAACTAAAGAGAATGGCAGAGCAACTAGCAACTTTGTGTGCTACCCTTGGAGAGTATCCCATAGTTAGATATAATAGGTAAGTAATACTAATTGTGACTAAATAGCAATCAGTGGATTGAAATGCATTATAGTTTGTGATACTGAAGTTTAAGATTGTTTCATATACTTTAATGAAATCGTTATAGAGGACATAATATTTTGAATTGAACTATTTCAGGGACCACGAATCTGTCGCGGAATTTACTCAGATGTTTCAAGGCAAATTAGACGCTTATAAAGCTGATGATCCATCAATGGGCGATGTAATAATTATTTTGTGTATTAGTCGTATTTTTTTATCAAATTGAAATCATAATAAAACAATTGTTTTAAACGTCGAACGATATAGTAGCTTGTATAGGTAGTTGTAGTTTAGCTGTCGTTGTATATCTGGTATTTGGGTATATAATATCGCCTTTCATTTAAATAATAGACTCCTGAAAAGTTGAAATCACAGCTGGTAATCCTTGACAGGTTAGACTGGTAATGCATAAGAAAGCCTATATTCAATATTCAATTTATTGTGTTATTATTATTTGTTAAATAGGGGATTTGATCCAGTATCGCCAATCCTCCATGAATGCTACTTTCAGGTAAGTGTGCATTGCTAGTTTATTGACAATTTACTTTATTTTATAAGGTATTTTATCGACAAGCATAAAATAGAATGTTGCTTCAGGAGTACTGTAACTTTACTTTTATGCATTACAGGCGATGGCTTACGATCTTCTCCCAATCGAAAATGATGTTTATAGGTTGTACATTATTATACGTATTATTATTATGATCTTTGCTCATACAGTCTAATGAAGGGTCGATATTTTTTTAGATACGCAACAAACTCCGGTCCGGCACAAACCGAAATGGAAAAAAAGGCTCTTCTTGACGGTAATACTACTAGCTTTATGTTGATCAGGAATCAGATTTTATTTATGCTATAATTTGTGTTAATTTTCACTTACAGAAAGCAATGAATTATGGGTTAAGCTTCGCCATGAACACATTGCCGTTGTTTCACAGTACGTAGCTAGTTTTTTATACATTGCATTATATTCTATGGTAGATAAAATTTCGTAGTAGTAGTGCTAAACTAGCAAAAATGTTAAATTTGCATACTTTAAAATGTTGTACTTTATGCCCATAGAAATGTAACGACAGAGCTTAAAAAGTTTGCTGATACCAAGAGGATGGCTGGTAAAGATAGGGTAAGTAATTTTTATTTATGATATTATGTCAAGTATATCATCGTAATAAAGATTTTATACCTTTCGTCAGGCTTCTATGAGAGATTTATCACAGATGTTGAAAAAGATGCCACAGTATCAAAAGGAATTAAGTAGAGTATGTCGATGCTATCGTTTTGCCATGCAATGAACTGTAGATTAAAAAAATAATTTCTTAAAAATTTTACTTATAAACCCCTTTTATACAGTACTCCCTCTATTTGCATCTGGCTGAAGACTGTATGAAACGTTTTAAGGAAAAAATCGATAAACTAGTTAGAGTTGAACAAGTAAGTATTTAAGTCATGCGTTTGGATTTTGATATACTCGTATGCAGTTATATTCATTAGGAAAATTGTTTTTACTACAATTTTAAAATAAAGGATTTAGCCACTGGTACTGACGCTGACGGAGAAAGAGTAAAAGATCCTATGAAGAATATAGTACCTATTATGCTTGATCAAGATGTTAGGTAATAAAAGAAATTTTATATTAAGTTGAAGCACCATTTTCTGATCATCTATGCCATTTTTAGCCCATTGGACAAAATAAGGGTTATTTTGCTGCTGACCTTTGCTAAAAATGGTTAGTCGTCCATCCAACTTGCAAATTTTGAGCACAATTGACATTCTATGTAGACATTAACAGTATATTTAAATTTTACTATTTAATCGTTTAGGTCAATCGGAGGAGAATCGAGAAAAATTAATTAAGCACGCAAATATTCCAACTGTTGATCGGTAAAATATTTCTTGATTAGTTTTGCTAGATAGCATGTTATCTTTAATATCTTAACTAATATTCTATACTTTGTAGTGAAATCATAACGAAAATGAGCCGTCTCGGAGTAAAAATCGATGTATGATTGTATTATTTTACTTATCTTTACAGTAGCTGATAGTAAAATAGTAGATGGTGTCTTTTCTAAACTTAGTTATTATTGATAGGACAAAGATCGTTCTAGAAGATCGAAAATTGAGCGACGTGATCGTTCTGGCCAAGTTACTTATCAAAGTTCGCGCTGGATACCACTAATAACAGATGTTATGCAGGTTAATTTGGCTCTCGCCTGTCTGTGTAGTTATTACAAGCTGCTTATCATGAATAAGATATTTAGAATTGATTTAATATTCTATGTGGTTTGTTGCCTTGCTTGCTTTAGGATGCGATTGATGATAAATTAGACACGAAGGCATTTCCTTTCATATCGGGGCAGCAAAGTACTGGAGTTGGTATGTATCGCTATCTCATTGCAATTAAATATCGCTCTAAGTATAGTACTTTAGTATATTACTATGCAATTTTATTTAAAGTCATTCTTAACTTATGTCCTAGGTATGCCATCAGTTAGAAGGTGAAACATAATTCCTGAGAGTGGCCTTAACGTCAATTATTTTTACCTCAAAAGACTTTTATTGTAACTCCTTATTAACATGCGTACTTATGATCTTAATGTAGTGCCCGTCCTAAAAAATATGGTTGGGGAAAGGATAAAAGCGCGGAGAATAGAACTGGTCCGCGATTGATTATCTTTGTTATTGGTGGAATGAGTTATTCAGAGATGAGAGCTGCTTATGAAGTTAGCAAAGCTAAAAAGGATTGGGAAGTGATCATTGGTATGTTCCTGATTTATAAAGTGCTTAAGCCGTTAGAGATGTTGATCTTTCTAATTTTAGCAAAAATTACTTATCATTCTCATTATACCTTATTTATTTATATACAGGTTCAACTCATTTGCTGACGCCGGAACTATTCTTAAATTCGTTAAGGAATCTCGACTCTAATGAATAAGATGAAGAAATGTATCGTATTAATATCGTTCTGTACGTTAGATGATAACAGTTCCATTTGACCATGTTGAAAGTATTTGATAGGTTAAAATATCAGTTGAAAAGTTTTATCTAATTTCTCCTACCTATTTGTAGTTGTTATAGCGTTGACTTAAAATTATTCAGTATATATTACGTATGGGAAGATCTATCCAATTATCACACTAATATACAGACTGCTCAATTTTTACGTAGAACGACATGTTCGTATTAAGAATTATATTATAGCATAGTCTAGAGTATTGCGTTAATACAGAATTATTGATGAACGGATAGGTGTTGTGCGATGTTCACAAAATTGCAGTAACCTGAATTCATGGTAGATCTCAAGCATTGCATCACTGGATCAAAGGATATTTGTTTTTGCAGTATCTTTCAATGATATCAGTTGCTATCAAAATTACTTAAATTAACTTGTAATTGTAGCTATTACACCATCTCGTACACGGCTTGATGAACAATCATCACAATAAAGTTTCAATTTTCAATGTGTGAATTTATTTAAATTACATTGTCAACATTTTTGGTGTTTTTTTAAAGAAAGATGAGTATAGTTTGAAGATTATAATCACAAACGGTACAACGAAGAGGCAACATTGATAATTACAATCGAATTATTGTCCAATCAGTTTACGATATAAAAGCTATGCACAATGAACTCTCGTAGAACGTTCTAGAATTTATAAACGGATGTATCCTGTATTTAAACAGTCTTAAGACTTGTCAATACTCTGACAATTGAGCCTAAGCCTCCAGCAGCAGTAGCCTGTCAAGATAGAAAAGATAATTATTAATGCAATTGATAGGATTTATGATTGAAGTAAAACTAAACATCCGATCAATTTTGGCAATTGTATATCTAATTACAGTACGATATTAATTTATACCATATTCATTAACAACCGAGTAAAATTACTCATTTCTATATCAGTTGATAAGAATATTAGAATCGGTATGAAAGTGGTATCTTCTTGGTAAAGTAACGCTGCGAATAATTCATTTTCATTTTATCTTGTAATACAGTAAGGAAAAGCTAACGAACAAATCGAAATAGTAATAAACTAGCTTAACCTTTTCATGCCATGCTAGTAAGGTAGCACAACTACTATCTTTGGCTTCTGCAAATCCTCGATAGATATATTTAACCAAAGTATCTATTTCTTGTTGCGACAATCCTTGGATGCTCTTTTCTATATCAGAACTTCTGTGTGATGTCAAAACTTTTAGGACAGCAGTAAAAACTTGATCCTACATAAAAATAAAAGATGATGCTATAATCAAATTTCTGTTGAATTGTAATATTTGTATCCTATCCACTACATTCGTATGTTCCATGTACACTATATGGTATCGATAGATTATTTCTAGGACATTTTTTTTAAGATACCTTTACATCTTTCGAATTTGCTAATGGCGGATTTTGGAGAACAGTTTTCAAAGCTTCGGCTTTATTTCCTGTAGGGTGTTATTAAGGCCAACTCAACACATTAAATTTGGCAAATTATGTATATATACATGTTCCATTTTATCCAATACTGCACCAATTAATTATGATAATTTTCTAAATGAGCTGTTAGAAATTGTTGCAAGAGTATTTGTTTACTATACATTAGGTAACTGCTAATACTCCATCATCTTCGCGTACAGTAATAAATCAGGGGAAAATTTCATCATTAAAGGTATTCAGTTTGAAAAGGCCATCGCTACTATAGCGATCTATTATAGTAATTATTGTTGAAAGGATATCTTTGTAGTAAACTAGTGGCAGCTGAGATATCAGGTCCAACAGGAGTGGACGAATCAGCATCAGCATCATTGAAGTTATTTTCGTCTAGGGCATCGACGTCCACTCGCCGAAATTGAGCGCTTAAAGTATTTTTAGACATCTATCGTAGCAAAAGATACAAGTTGGAAAAAGATAAGATAAAGTGTTGAATAAGCTAACAATATACTGTACTCTATCCTGGTATATATCTATACGAGTACAATAATAAAGTATAATTGATAGTCCAGTCCAGTTTATGGTGGAAGAGGACAGTCATACTTCACGACAGTATGGATCTGAAAACGTCTAATCTAGACATGGATGTTAAAAAAGCTAAAGTATCCATCTTTTCTAAGAATCTATGGGAAAATCCATTGTACTGGGTATTGTAATGATGCATCAGTCTAACAAAAAAAGATGTGTACTGGTATAAAAGACAGCAAGCAGCTATTTCTTCACGATTAATTTAGTACTACTGTCGATTTCAAGAAAGGACCGACCAAGAAGTTACGAACGCGACATTTCCACAACATGACTGTTATCATCAACTATATAAAATAACTCCATCATCATTCTTAAAACATCATCAATATGCGTATACTGTATTTAATGCTTTTCAATCGTCGACATGGAAAATAAATGACCTTTTCTTTCGTCTTCTTTGCCCGTAGTACAGTCCTGCGAGCTCGTTTTCGTTTCCACCCCTTTAACCTTAATTAATCTCTAAGAATGCACTGGCAGCGTTTTAATGTGGAAAAAATGAAGTCACTCCTACTGGTACAGTCCGGTCCGGTATGGTCCGGTACGGTACAGTACAGTCGATTCCAGTCCAGGTCTTGAGAGGCTTGCACTGTACAATGTACTGTACACTCACTGTACAATGTACTGTACACGGGTGTAAAATCGGGATGTGATTTCAGGCTAGTGTGCATTACTGCGCAGTCGCTGTACTGTGCTGTATGACCACTCATTTGCCTATCCACTACAGTATCGTACAGTACCTACACTACCGTATAGTACACACTAAAAGAACGGTACAGGTCGGATTGGATTGGATTAATTATACAGCACTGGAATGATCAAGGATTACGCCGAAATTTTTCCGATTTCCAAGTGAAGAAGACGCAACTTGTAAGGCACTACTATACTGTAGTACTTTTTGATAATGTTGCGTACTGTAGACAACAAGAGACAGAATGAATATCCCACGGTCATGGACTACTACTGGTTTTCTTCTACTACAGATCCTTTTACTGCGACGACTCAATAGTCACATGACACCCACACAGGAGCAAAGAACTCTACACTGTACAGTGTACAGTGTAGAGTAGCAGAGACGCTGGCGTGACGTTAGCATTCTACACATAGTTGGAATCGAGGAAATCAACATGAATGCTGTTGTTGCTTTATGCCATTTCTGTGAAGTTCATGGACCTAAAATCATATTTTATACACAGGTAAGCCTATTTATCATTGTAGGAAGTCATCCTTAGATAGATCTCATTTGCGATGTTGAAATTTCATTCATTTTCGTTAGGTATTTCACGATATCGATCGTTATGCAAAGCAACATCAAGCAACAACACCCAATGGCGATAACCAGTAAGTTGGGCTTTTGCGACATACCGCACCATCATAGGCTACGTCTACACTGTACATTATAGATATATATCCAGACGTAGAATTAATGAATGATACAGTACAGTAGAAGAAGCACTTTGGTAGAATAGGTAGCATAAACGAGTAGAAAATAGGACCGTCGTTATTCTTATACCCTTATGCTTGAAAGGTTAAAGTGGAGAACGACAGTCTAGGATTACACCAATGTTGACACATTATTGACATCTTCTCTTCCTCTAGTGATAATGAAAGTAAAGCGTCGAGTAATAGCTCGTCTTCAAAAGTCGATTCCTGTGATGCCTGTGGATCAATACCTGTCGGTCAACGTGGCTTAGTTAGCTTTGATAAAAGCGCTGATATCGTTTATGTTAGTAGACATGATCCTGATAGTCCTGAATTATACACTGCTCTGAGGCATGCTTGTATTCGAAGGTTAGTTCTACTATGACTAAGTGTTAATGAGATATATTATTCTAAGCTCAGCTTTCATGTAGATTATATCACCTTATAAAGTACAATGTACAGCGATAGATACTATTCACTGGATTTTTCTTGAATCTTCTCTTTCATCCTATTTTAGCCTTAGTTGTGAAATCTGCCCTGGTAGAGAAGGACCAGTTATCTTCGGCGATAGTTTCAAAGGCTATGTTTTTAGTTATACATTTTCCTTGAAAGATGTTGAAGCTAGAGGACAGCAAAAATGGTCAGTTTTTCTGTTCAAACATAAATTAAATACATGTTGTACTATAGATATAAAGAGAATGATTGAAGGACTCCATGACCCGATCAACTTTTCTATAACTTGCATATGATTATTGTATTGATAGGTATAGCATTATAATAGTAAGCAAGGATAAAATTTTTTTAATCAATTCCTGGAACTTTTTCACTAGGTAAGTTCATTTAATTCCTGACGACGATTGAAAGACAGTCATAGATATCTGCTCATAACCTTTCTATATATACTAGTTAATGGATAAGCAATATCTTGAATATATTTATTATCGTTACATAATATAGCCACATTCAGAAAGTGACTAGCGATCTACAATCTAAGGTAAGATTATATTTCATTCTATAGAAATTCCTATTATATTTATTTATCGATGACCAAATTAAAAACTTAAATACTTTGTCTTGCTGCAATCTAATATTTTAAAGGCATTAAAAGTTTATGAAAGTGAGAAAAAGCAAGTAAAAAGAAATCCTTATAGAACTATTGCACTCGATTTAGGTAAATTAATTTATTAGTTGATAAATTTCTCTCAGATGTGGATATATTGGTATACTGTAATGTAGATAATAATTCAGGATAGCTTATGAAACGAGATAATACATGTATATTATGCTTAGGCCCACTTTCACGCAAAAGAAGCGGTACCGGTAGAGCTACTCGCTCTCTTACCGATATATTAAAAGATTCGGTAAGTAAACGGAACTATTAGTATTCTAAATAGTACTGAATTGCACACCACAGACCGAACTCATGGAAAGGTAATATTCATCTTACTGTAGGATATCTTTACTCGATTACATTCCTACTTTACGTGGATGCTTAAAGAAGGTGCTCGCCATTTTACAGAAAGATCATTGGAAGGTCCTTCTCTTAATTTTGATAACAATTTCATAGATATAGGTATGCTGACCGTATCATTAATGACAAAAATAATGTAAAGTTTTAATACCCGATATAAAGCTGAACCCTTCGACGTTTGCATTGTACCTGTATTTCAAGTATCAATACTTTATTCTATCGTTAGACAAGAAATACACGATAGATGCACATTTCGATTCAATACTTCAGTTGTCGCAGGTAAATATTGCTAGTAATGTACATGCTGCAGAGTAATAAAATACAGTCTACACTGTTAAAGATGCTTATTATATTTACGGTATTAAGTGTATGATTTATATATGTTTTATTACGCTCTAATTGATTGATATTTAGACTATGAATAGGGAAGATTTTTTAACTTTATGTCAACATGTCATCCTTGGCAATCAAATCATTATCAGATCATCAGTTGACTCTCTGGTTTCTTCTGCCATCGATATTTTACAGGTAAGTTAATTAGAAGCTATAACTGTTATGTTTATATTCGTAGTAACATTTTATTTGTCATATAGCGCCAACGACTTTTATATCCCTATTCATTAAGAGCATACAGAAACAACGTTGTAAACTCTGAAGATTCTAATTACCTATCTTTTACTTTTATATTAGTCTTTATTACCTAGTGATTGTTGTAAAGTAATATATAAGAATACTGAATACCAGGTAATGTGAAAGCCGGTTACTTGAGATATGATGTTAGCTGTAATATCAGAATTTTATCTCAAATTATCTCATAAATGCTGTTAACCTACTGTTTAGGATTCTTGGAAATGTAACTTTCTAGGATTAAACTTATGTACTGAAATCCCCCAACATGTTCTCGCCTCCGATTTATACGCCCTCTTAGATATTATTCCATTGGCTCACCAAGTGGATAACTCTGCTAAATCCGGGTCAATATGTTATTTAAGAATTGCTACATTAATTTGTAATCGATACTAATTGATATTTTACAACTTTCCACTAATAGTGCCGGATTTAATTTGCATACAAATCTTACTCATTGCTCAAAATGGAAAGATAAAGGTGACTTGATACGCGCATAGCGTACTAAAGCATTTTTAAATTTCATATTTTCTGGTATTGTTAGTAAGGAATATCACTATACGAGTATTATCTATATACGTACAGTATAGATTAGTAAATTTACTAATAAAAATTTTTCTTGCATTGAAGCTCCAAATTTGATAATAAAGCTAGGGACATTAATATCTGACACAAATACTTCCCCCGCTGTAATAAATCAATTCCTTTTAGCCGTTAAGCAAGAATACATGAAGTTAGTACAGTTATCATAAAATATTTCAATATTGCGACCACACCGTTCATTAAAAAGCTTTCTTGTTTTAATGTACAATAAATCCAGTAAAGCAAAACTATTCTATAAATTTATCAAGACAGAATATCATACGGAACAAGAAACCAAAAAGTAAACATATATATATAAATATATATATATATATTCATCATTACGTTTAGCAAATTGCAATCCAATTAACGAATTTGTCCTACAGACTTTTACAGATATTAGGTGTAAATGGTCAAGATGTACATGTTTTGAAATTCTGGATTCGAGGATTGAATAGTGATTGTTGTCTGCATTTACGAAACGCTCAACCGAACTCACCAAGATTAATCTATGCGACAAGATAACATTGCTATTAATTGTTCTAAAGTAAACCACTGTAAATTACTTAAGTAATTCAAAGCGAAAATTCTAACTGCCTAAATAAAGCATGAGTAAAGAACTTGATTTCAAACTGATTTTGAAATTATTCCAATTGCTGAAATTTACTGTTTTAGATTCTATCATGTATAAAGATTAAAATAAAGTACGTTTGCTATAAAATGATGCGCGCAAATGCAATTTATTTTTGACATTACGAGTCATGATGGCAATGTTTTAGAATTTTATATCAGACTAAGCAGCTAAATGCAAAATCGCAAATATGCGTTAACCTAAAACAGTAGACACTACTGGAGCTAAAGCAAGTCTTGCATATTCGTCAGTTATTGAGGTCTATTGGGAATAGTAGGCCTACCAGTGGGCTTTCTCGGTACTTGCGGAGCTGGCTTCGGAGATGATGGAGGTGGACGACTAAGTACAATGTTAGAAGAGTTAATTCAGAATCTTACCGAGCCTAACTGTAATGACTAAGAATATTACCTTGGAATTGATGGTGGTAGGCGGGTGGGTTCCAATGGCCTAGATGGTGCATTAGGGCGAGAAGGTGCAGATGGACGCCTAGGAGGTTGAGGTGCAGTACGATGAGAACTAAAATGATCAGGACTATGAAAGCGTGCGTATTCGAAAAGCGGAGCGTAATTAGACAGCAGCAATCAAACAGCCAAAGCAAACATCAAGCAAGCATATAAGCAAGCGGCAAAATTACTTATCAGGCCGTGTAGGCATTGCGTTGCTCATTTCATCTTCCGGTATTGGGGGAGGATCTGGAGTATGGATAGTTTTATTCGTAATATCTGCGATAACAGTAAGAGCTTCTTTACATGCATGATACATGCGAACCATTTGTTCGCGTCTCACTTCTTCCTCCTTGCTTTCTTCCATCAGAGAATCTAAGCCCTATAAATAGGTTCAGAAAATTTATCATTATACGTGTATCGTATTAGCAGAAAAAATCTATCAAAAAATATACTAACTCCACTTGTGGCAGTCAAAGAATAAAGTCCACTCAGTAAATCCGATCCGATAAAAGCGATGGTCTTAAGTCATATTAGAAAAACAAAGTAAAATTCTATGTTACAAAACTATGTCGACGTAAGAGCTGTCAGCCGCTAAACAAAGCAATTACATAGCTTACATTGTTTACAATTAGATGCATAGATATTTTTGGTACGGAATCTTGTATAATTTTTTTTATTATAGACATATAAGAATCAACCAAGTTGCGAATAGTTTCTACTTGTCTTTCAAGTTGCGGATCCAGTGAACCTAAATCAGCCTAAGAGACGTGTGATTTAAATGTTAAGTTAATCTCGGGATATTGAAAATATCAATCACACCCAATCATCTAAATACGAACAGTAGAAGATGATCCACCAGCAGAATCCGCTTCTTGTAATCTTTCCGGATAAACACCTGCACGTAGGAATGAAGCTTTCCAGCTATCAAGATCTTCATCGGAAGAGGCACAGAGATCTAAGGTTTTATGTTCTTTATACAAATTTCTATCATTGGGATAACCAACTGCATCAGTAAAGTTGTAAGACAAAATAGTTAGTTAATACATGTCACAGCATGCGAACCTTTTATCAGGGTTGAATAATGCAAATGAATGAGCTTTTCGGCCCATGAATCCAGCATCTAAATCTCTTATTTTACAGCCTTCTAGATTAAGAAGATACTTTTGATCTTGTTCCTATAAAAAAAGGAAAATTATCAAAATAAAAATCGTTGGCAATATAAAACTACTAATTTTCAAGGTACTCTACTCAAGATTACCATATAGTAACCATAAAATAATAAAAGAAACACAGAAACTTAAGCTACCTGTTCATCCTTATACCAAGCGAGTGTCTCCGCTACATATCAGTTTAAAATTAAGAATACTTTTAGATTACTCCTCTAGGAGAGGATGCTATAGGAAAGCGTGACAAATTCGTCGAACGATATTGCACAAATTAGGCACTAACCACTTAGAACAAACCAGTAATCTTTTGACATTCCCTTCATAAAACCAACACTAGTCAAAGTCAGCCAACCTTTACGAATGACCTTTCAATGGACAAAGAACACGGTTAATTTTGCGTTCATTAAATTAGTTAGGATATTCTAACAACAGTTTCATGTCACATAAATGACTAGAGACTTTATTACTAACTACAGTAAATATACTTTCAAAGTAAAGAACATTAGAAAGTTAAAAAACTAAAGCTACCACCTGGTTGCTGACTCTCTTTTTAGTTGTGCTTGCAACACTCTTAACTTGAGCACTAGAATGAGATCATTAACCAAAATGGCTTAGATTTAGCGACAGAACTTTATAAGGAATAGTTTAAAAAAATAGCAGCTAACTTAGCAGAACCAATAAAATCAGGGTGATTCGTATTAATATATGCCAATTGAAAATCGATTTGAAATACGGCCTGTAAAGAAAACATTATTAAAATACCATGTAATAGTAGATAAGAAATGAAATAATGATCGCATAGCATACGGCATCTTTAGCTTTGACTTCTTGATTGCGAACATGCTCCAATACTATTCGTTCGACTTCGTCTCTCAGCCTTGGAAATCGCGACATCTTATAAAAATAAACAGAATAATTTATTGAATATTCCATTTATAATTATATTGGCTATTATCGAATGTTTGTATATGAAAATAATACCATTTCCGATATTTTGTTAACGCTATTGGATATTTCATTTATCACCATATCTATACATTTAATACTGGGGGATTTTAGGCGTTCAATCTGACGTTTGGTTACACCTTCAAAGGCCATATCAGGAGTAAATAAGCCAGATCTATTGATAAATTTGTTTTTAGTTGAACAGCACAGGTAGGTAGACACGATGCACCCAAAGATATTTATATAAGGAAGGCACTACCTAACACCATGGATATTTCGAATAGCATAAGTTATCTCTCTTCTCAGTTCTTTTTCATCTACTTCGAGCTGTAGTACATACGTATACAACACAAGGATAGAGATTTGAAATCAAGAAACGTATTCAATTGCAGAACCTAATGTTGTTACAATAAATCCTCCCATATTTTTAGCAATAATGACGAATATTTACCTTAACAAGTTCAAAAGGAAATCGTTCATGAAATATTCTATTCACTTTAGCACCGCCCGATAATTCTAGACTGTCTGTAGTGGATCCTTCGATATCTTTTGTAAAATCCTTCTCAAATTGTTGAATCATCCTTAGTATAACGATAAAAAGTAGAATACATTAACTTGGTCACGCAAGCTATAGTAAATTAATTACACTGTATGAGTTAATATCAATTATTTTTTATGCTAACGTTAGCAATGCTTTCGTTTTTCTTTGGGGATCATCACTACTGAAATTTTTAAATTCCGAGACTTCCTTCTCTAAGGCCAAAAATTGCTGTTGCAATTTGCTTCGCAATACTGGCAAAGTATCTCTGATATGATTTGTCAACTGCTGATTTAAGACTTTTTGTAAAAATGAAGTCCCCATTCTATCAGCCATATGCCTATCCAAATTAAACGCATGAAGATTAAAATGGCTGAAGGGCAATATTCCAAAAAATAGCTACATCTCATTTTTTTGAGTATTACATGTAAGAAGGGTGACCAAGGAAGAACTTTCTTTCAGAATCGAGTGCTGTCCTAATGTCTTTTCTACCCTCGATATCTCTTTGACTACGATTGACAACTCCAACATATCCTACCATCAAGAATATTTAGAAGCAGAGAGTATAATGAATCAGTACCAATGTTATAGTTTTATCATTTTCATAGTCCTTACCCCGCCTTAACGGCAATAACTTGTTTTCTAATATATCTCTAGCATCAGTTCCATCATCCATTAAATCTAACTTGGTAATGACTCCGATAGTTCTAAGACCTGTAGCAAAGTTGGAAAGTTCTCGTAATGTGGTACTATTTCAATACAAAAGATATCTAATTCGGGCATAGCTAAAACTTAGAATTGACTTTTAGTAATAGACTAATACCTTGCGGGTCAACTTCTTTGGCAATTTTTAAGGCATCAGAATTAGCTAAATCAGCGTTGGCGGGTGATACAGCTAAAATTAGAGCATTTTCTTTGGTTACAAATTGCATAATCATATCTCTAATTTGTTTTTCAATGTCTGCAGGTTGGTCGCCAACTGGAACTTTAGTCATACCAGGCAAATCCACTAGGGTTAAGTTAAGTACTACAATTGCGAAAGATGAAAATTTAATTGAGTAACTCTATCTTTCTTCCTAATTTGATCTCCTTGGGTGGTTGTATCATCTTACCATGTGGAGAATAGACTCGGAGATTAATAGGAACGGGGGATATTCCTTTATTTTGTCCTGTTCCTCTATCGGTTTCATCTTCAATTTCTTTACGAATTTCGTTAAAGTCAGTAAATTTTCGACCACGACAGTGTAAAAATTCTCCATATTCTACAATAATAAGGGAGTGTAAGATTGTATCGATGAAAATGTTGATTAACAACGCCATGAACATGTCATTCTTCCATATTTAATTAGTTTATGCAAATTCATTCGCTTGAACAAGGTATAACCGACGGAAGAATATGATTGGATTTTGCCAATCCAGATTAAGAAAATAACCCGTTTATGCTGAAGTTAAACAAATAGAGAGTCAACTTACCCATTTTATTATTAACCAGCTGTAAAACCAGTGGCCTTCTCGTAACTATACCAGAACCTCGAGGTAAGAAATCCCTGTGGTAACAAGTGCAATCAATAACATGTCATGAAGTGTAGAATATAGTGAGTGTAACCATTTCAATACCATTACCCCATTGTATGTTTGAATTGAAGTCAAGATGCCATGATTTCTATTGGCATAAGGGTATGCAAAATTATCTATGCATCAAGACTGTACAGCAAATAAGCTAAACTGTCATTCAACTTGCTATGTTACAATTATGATAAGAATTGCCAGCTTAGAAGCTGCTATTTTTTTTTTCATTGAATCTCTTTGCTGTTCCATTTTATTCTACTAAGTGAAATCAACATCAGCAAGTTATTGCAAACCCTTGATTGATGATGTTACAGTAGTTGTGTCGATATGATTAAAGTCTACAATAGCTACTATTCCTTCTTTCAAGCCTAAATTACAACGATTATCAACATGCTATGCATAAACTGTCATGACTTGTGGTATAGAAATAAAGTAACAGTATGATTAATCCATTGAATTCTTGTTCATCCATAAGTAAGAATACCACAATGAATTCAAGGATGATCGTAGAAGAAACAAGGCAGTCATGCAGTGTCCTGTTTTGATTTACCTGCCGACAAAATTTTCTAAAACGGAGCTTTTACCAGCACTTTGTCCACCAACCACAGTAATTTGCGGTAAATCCATAGGTGAATCCAAACCTAACTGGGAGAAAGCATCTTGTAACTTGTTGACCAAAGGGATCAACCTTTCCATTCCTTGATTGCCAGACATGTTGATCTCTTTGGAGAAGATTTTTTCACTGCCAATGAATTTTCTACTGCCAACGTCAATATGAGATTGCCACAATCTTGATCGAGTTGACTTCAGTGATTTGACGCCCAGGGGGTGACGTTTTACCGTGCCGTCGAGCGAGGACTACGATCCTCCACTACAGTGTTTTGACTGTAGTGTACAGTGTACAGTGTACAGTATCGTCCTGGACGTACTGTAGGCAGGTAGCACGCGAGACCAAGCCGACAGGACGGTGAAACGTCAGCCACTCAGGCTTCAGCTGTGCCCTGGTGTCTGTACTCTACATACTGTACACTGTACAGTATGTCATGTTTCAGTTCGACGCTTCTACCAGTTGTATTTTAGGAGAATTACGTAATACCGTCCTGTACCAGTGTTCTGTCCGAGTGTCCGTATGATCACAACACCGAGTTCATAATAATGAACAGTATACTGTACTGAACAGATAGACATTGAAAGTCCACTTGCTGTACAACATATCACAGCTATAAAACATTTTATCTGGCACTTTGAGAGTTTTTCTTGGCTAAAACTAAAATGGAAGAGTCGCTAATTGGATAACATTTTCTTGTAAGCATACTGTATACTACGGTATATTCGTAATGTAGAACTTTGAATAATTCAGGGCTCTTTGTCCATACTCGTACTGTATAATGGAGATACATAAGCACCAGTAATCAACTAATTATATATATAAATAATTATCAATTCAAATGAACGGTGTACGGTACTAAGTTCTCCACATTTGCTGGTACATAATAATATACAAATGGCAAATTTATATCCAATGCTTGAATTTCAGCAACTTTGCAAAATGACATTGTGATAAGGTTGTAGCCCGCTATGCAGTGCTGCAGACAGGAACTGAAATTTGCCCGTTTTATAATCATAAAAAAAAAAATTTTCCTATCAAGTATTATAAGAGAGAATCAAGACAAAATGAGAGAGAGCCAAGACAAATTCAGTTGCGGGCAGGAGGGGAAAATTTTTTGTTGTCTAGTCCCTGGCAAGACTTGCAGGCAGTAAAGGTCAAGAAAACTCAATACGGAGTACGGACCAGAGCCCTAACCGTGATCGCTTTAATATGCTACAAGCGTCATTAACCCTTGATCCGTGAGTCAATATACTTTAGTAAAAGTTATACAACACCCGCGGGGCGCCAGTGCATTCAAAACTCTGACCCTCTGAGCTCTGGTAAAGACGATACAAGCTGTAGCGCTAAATCTCCAGAACTGGCATTCTTTTTTAGCATAAAAATGTAAAGAAGTTATATGCTGATTGGATTTTAGATATTTTGTAGGAATGGCTTAAAAAAGGGAGAGAGACACGTCTCTATTTTTGGAGTTAACCTTGGAAGGAATGTGGGAGGTACGGTATCCTACTGTGTAGCATCGGAATACTCTACCTGGATCATGGAACAAATTATATCGTTTCCTCAATAGTTTTCCTTTCTATTGAATCAACAGTGCAAACACTTGACATATATAGCCGCAAATGCAAGGTTCAAAGACACCAAGTAAAACAATTTACCTTAAAAACCTTACCAATGCTATATTGATTTTGAACCGAACAAACTTTATTCGTATCTTACAATATTGACGTAAACATGCAGTACTGCACGTCATACATGATAATATGCATATGTTAGTACAGTAGGTCAATACTTAGTAGAAATTCAGCAGATCAATAATTCAGCCTTAATTTCAATTACTTTGTAATTACAGAGTAAAATCGACAATACGATTATCACCTTGTAAAATTATACCGTATAATCTTTATCATAAATTTTCGATATACGCGTGTTGTTGCGTCTACTTGCTAGTTAAAGCATCAGCCTTATTGTTGCATATAATATAATTTAATTTAATTTAATTAATGGACGGTAATTTAATGAGTTCCACAAATTCTCTTTTCATCCCATTACCTTTGTTTTTTTATGGGTATAACTCAATCATTATATGGACGTAGTGTATTGGTGGAGTCTGTAGTGGTATAGAAGATTTCGTATAGGATAACATAAGAATAGTAATAGCAACTAGACAGATACTTTTTACCGGTATTTATATGTATGTTACGAACTTGTCTCGCGTTTAATTAAGCGTGGTAATATCATAAGCTTTTGCAGGTAGTGTACATGTACACAAAAATTATCTTTATAAATACAAGTATACGTTTATGGATGCATCTAGCTATCACGTCGATCCATTAGATACACTCACTATAAAATTGTCAGCAACAAATTAGGATATCTAATACACGTATATGATTATGGATACATCTAGCTATCACGTCGATTCATTAGATACATTATAAAATTGGCAGCAACAAATTACTATGTCTGTATTCAATATGAAAATGTCGCGGAGATTTATGAATTAGCTGTTTTCACCTATGTTATTAAACCATGCAGGACTACAATTCGTTCTCTGACATGTGATACATTTGATCAATTGTATAGTCTTTATGATCAACAACGTCCTTCAGCTGCTCATTATAAGCCTGATGACCTCGATGTCGTTGTTGCAAGATTGTCGTGGACGTCATGGCTGGCTTATAATTAATTGGTATTCGTGGACAAGAAGGTGAACTACCGGATTTAACCTTAACCACACCTTCAGCAGGTAATGAGAGATCATTGCTTGCCGCAGCACTGCTGATACCCTGCTTTCCAACTTGCTTTTGATGCCATTCATCAGCATCGATTGCATAATGTGAGAATCCTGTATTCAAGGCATCCATTCTATAGGGGTATAAAAGAAGATCCTCAAAAAAATATTTTATTCACGTATAGGCACAAATATATAATCTGCGTATCGTACACTGCTCTAACACAGACTCTACCCTAGAAATATTAATTTGTTTTTTTTCAATCATAAAGGAATACATTCCGTTTACGCATTGTATATACAGTATATATTGTAGCAGTTACTGTAAATTGTTATGACATCCTTTTATAATAGGTGTATGTTAAACTGCGAAAGTTTAATATCCAGCATCTAGTGGATTGTGGGTGTATTGTGTGAATGTATTGCTAACTAGTATTATGTAAATCATGTCCGCTCACGAGTAATTATACATGTAGCCTGCTTACTTTATTAAACTACAATTGATATGCAAAAGTAGAAATGCTTAGATACATCTTTCTACAACTATGTAACAAATATAGTTAATTCACAATACGTTGTAAGACTTCTAAATGTATTCAAGTTGATAACAGCGGCGTGGTTACCTCTTGGCAAGCTTAACAGTCCCTGAGCTAGTTTTGAACGATGTTCGTGGAGACCAAGTTGAGGTCATCAAAACCTAAGATGATAAAATAGGTCAATTTCCTTGTGCTAGCAAGTTCTTAGAAAATAAATAACAGTCGTAGGTGTTAAAACGATACCCTGTCACTGGATTGATCATTCAAAGGCGGAAGTTTAAAAGATGACAATGATGATGCGTCGCTCATTTCCTAGTAAAATATAAATAATCGGTTACAATTTCCGTTGACTTATCATCAAGTCTAATACAAGAATTTATAAAACTCTTCATAAAGCATTGCTATAGTATATTAGCTTATTTTTTCTCTCCAATTTCATGAACGAGTAAAATATAATAGAGAGAAAATCCATCTCACACTACGCGTTACAAGAGAGTGCCATTGCTCTGTTTGTCGTAGTATATATACACGATCCCATTATGGCAGGCAAACAAGCTTAAATCATTTATACTTTATCTCAAATACTTCTGTAATTAGTGATGATCTACGATTTCATGATATAGTACATTACTTCTAAGCAAATTAATTTGTAAAAAATGAATGTTAGATTATAAACCTAGCTTAATCAAACTTGTTTAAAACCGCGTAAAAATATTGTTCATCAGTAATTGGAAGGTTGTTCAAATAAAATCAGTCTTATCTGAATGTATCATTTTCTGCATTAAATTAATATTAAATATTTTCAGCCTTTAACTTCGGTCAACGTATGAACAATGCTAAAGCTATTGTAGCCTAATAATGCTATAGACGTTTAATTCATCGCTACAAGCATTTAATTCAGCGAATAAAAGAAATAGTTACTCATATTTCACATAAACAATTATATTACCGGCGTCAACGCTGTTGGACGAGATGAAAATTTCTGTTCGTTCAGCATTGACTCTGGAGCTGATTTGGTCCTATTACGCTTAGGTTTAATTGAATTAGATTCCGGAGCTACATTTTTTTTAATTTAAAATAGATAATTAAAATTATGGCATATTAATAACAGTGAAATCATACACATGCCTATGAATTAAATAACATGACACAACTACTTGAATATTACAGTTAGCATATTTTAATTCTTTAAACTACTAGCTGATTCAGGCATAGTATTAATAACAATTATTAATACATGATATCGACCACATATAGACTTTATCAACCATAATAGGAAGATGATAAATACGCTGTCTACAGTATGATTCATTATCGAATGAAATTTTTAGCTTCTGTACTTAAGTCTTACCAAGTAGTGCTAGTAAAAGTTGGCAACAATCTCTCACTTGGGCATTTAAATTTCGATCTGGTATCAATAAAGTTCCTGCTTGATGATATCCTAGGCTTATCAATAGCTGCCGGGACTTAGGGTTAACTTGCCAAACATTATGAACATAGGAATCCGTAATGTCGATGTAGCTTGAATTAGTCGCATGTAACTATCAAGTAAATATTTAATTAAATCATAAGTATATTACTTGGATGTTAATATAAATTGATTTTAGAACAATTTAATTGAACAGGATATCATATAGTTTAGTTATATATACCAGTTTAATCAAATATTTATGCAGTTTATCATCTAACGGCAATAACTTGGAAATTGCAAAGAGGCAGGACGGAAATTTCACTATTCCTTAGGTAAAAATATAGAAAACGATTGAGTCCTTATAAGTAATTTTTCTAACTAGATTATGCGCATCAATAGTTTTCCAAATTGAGAAAAAGTTCTGAAATGATTCAATAACAATGAAGCCTTGAAATACTACTACTAGCTTACCCTTAATAGATCTCAAGGCTAGTTGACATGGCCTTAGGAGACTATCATAGTCCCAATGTGGAAATATAACACAATTATTGTCCAACTGATTTGGATTAGATTGAAAGTTAAAACCAATCAAAGACAATAATTTTCGACATGCTGGTATTTCTGCCATTTCGGTCGATAGCTGCATCGTATCAGGATTTTGCTGTAAATCTTGCACATATGCTACTGCACGGTCAATCTTAAATGAAAACATGGTGAGTTTCAAATAATTATTATCGTGGTCAGAACGAAAAGATATCACAATTGTAAAACACTATTTTAAAGAGGTAAACCTTCTCATACGCTACTGTACTATACAAAATTCGATCTAAATGGAAGTTTCTTACCAGCTGCAACATTTCCTTTACAATCTGAATAAAATCAGGCATTTTATAGCATTTAAATAATTCAGCTAATAACTTCTGTAATTCATTCATCTTCACAGAGGGTACGACATTTATTTCTATAGAATTAAATCAATTGATGAGTTTGTTTGATATATAAAAATTCAAATTATTTTTGCATACTGCCACAAACTTATTCTGCAATTCATAATTGGTAACTACGTGAAATTTATTACCCTCGAATGATTTATCGCGGGGTGATGATGTCTGTTTACTGGTAAGTAATGTTTCCATTCGCATTTTTTGTTCATCAATAGATTTATTCAACATGTGATGTTCTATCTGTTTAATATCTATAGCCATATCTTGTCCCAAGAGCACATAAGATCCCCAGCATACGGGTTCGACCAGTCGATTATCTTCTCGAATGCTATTTAATGCTGATTTTAATGCTAGACTTAATCGTTGATGTTTGTAAAGATGACTGTAAAAATGGAACCAAAAGGCATCAGATGCCAAATCAGGTATCGGCCATAGCGGTACAAGAACAGAACATGCTCCACAAGCCAGTAGCATATTGGGTAAATGATAAGTTAACTGATGTAGAGCATTTTTATCGCTATAGCTATTCTGGCTGCACGAGCTGAGAACGATAATTTTTGCTTTTAATTTTATTTGTTTCAAGTCATCCATTGTCACTAAATAGGAATCTTCTTCCGCTGTATCCGTATTCAATCGATAAGGATTGGGAGTAAATGCTAAACAGTTATAATATAAACAGCCTAATGTTGATAGATGGACAACTGAAGCTTTGGTTAATTCCTGGAGTACCCGTTCCTTGGTTGCCATCGAGCCTACTAAAGGCGTTGTATTCAGTCGTAATCCAATTTGCCTAACTTCGTCTAACGACATTGATAACGGATTGTTTGATTTCCAAACACGTTCATTGCTTGCTAGTTTTTGCTTGAAAACAGGATTACCAGCTACTAAGATGCATTCAGATTGAATGATATTATCGGAAGTTTCCTTTTTATCGCCTTCCTTAAACTGTTGTAATGATAGATCGTATGGGTAAACATGAACCCTTGGTTTTTGATAACTAGTAGCATAGTTATGCATTGAATGCTTCATAGCATTACTATTGGCAATTTGCAGTGTTAGAAGAGACGAGAAAATGCTGACTTTAAATTTTTGATATAAACTTGTACCACAGGCATCACATAATGTATAATACGGCACAAAGGCTAAATGGTTTCCACAAACTATGATTAAATGATCGATACTAGCTAGATTGAGATCATTTTCAATAGGTGAGATAAGTTTAGCATACAGGGTTTTTAGAGCCGATAACACACTACTGCACTGGATACGTTCATATAATTCATGAAGAAATGTTGGATCATCACGGACTGAATGACTTTGACGATAATCAAACAACTTTCGATTTTCCGTATGATAGTATAATCTTTGCAAATCATTTTGATTGAACAGATCTTTATCTTCAAGAACGCTTCTAGCTGAAGGCATTTCAGATTTTCCGGCATTATTAGGAATAATTTTGGAGTCGGAATTTTCTGGTGAGGTGGCACGTTTTTTTCTCAACACTGCAGATCTGCCTATGTTACTAAAATTTTGCATCTGATTACATAGATATCCGATGCCTTTCAATTTAACTTGATGGAATCGAATAATGTCTCGTGTAGGTGATATTAACCACAAGTAGATATATCCATGAACCACTGAATAGTAGAGAAGCATGGAATCGGATGACATACTTTGTGTAGCACTTAAAATTTCCTCTAATGATAATGAGTAATTATCACGTCGTGATCCATGAAATTGATCCCTCAATTTAACAAATTCTACTAAACGAAAGGAATTATACTTCTCAGCATACATTAATGCTTCATCTACTCTATCTAGTTTTATCAATACTTCCTGTATATAACGGTAAGAATTTAATAATTCAATTTCATAACGCGATAAGTCATTTTCAAAATATGAAACAACTTCATATAGAAAAACAATAGACTGTTCGTAATTATTTTGAAGGCAATGCAAATAGGATAGATGATATTTGCTTATCATTTCTTTATCATAATCCAACATTTGCTTTGCTAATCGTAGAGCTTGTTCGGCACTAATTTGCGCTTGTCGATAATGTTTCATGGTATAATAGACTGCAGTCAATTTACAACAAGCTTCGTATTGGATACTATATGTTCTTAGTGAAAGAGTTAATGTCTTATCGTAATAGTTTATAGCCTTTAGTAATTCACCAGACGACTGACAGATATCTCCTAGTTTTAGCAAAGCATCCATTTGTGATGATGAATCGGCAGCTTTCATAGATAAATGTAGCTGTTGCTCGCAGTAAGCTAACGCTAAACTATAATTGCCCATTTTAGAGTACGCTACACCAATACTTCCATATGCGGTACCAAGCATTAGAGTTTTGTTGGCTTTCCTGCTTAAAACAGCTAGAGCTTCATATGCAGCGATAGCAAGTTTATACTCTTGTAATAATAAATAAATAGATCCAAGATTAGCGTGGGCCTCCAACAGCAAAATTTGTAATGAATCGCCACGTTCTCCCTCAGTATCTTTACTCTTATCGTCATCATTTTTTATTGTTGATTCTGTGAGGTCATGGCTCTCGCATTTTTGATTTACTTCGTCCGATGAATGTTTCAATTGACTATTATTAACTTTCTTTTCATGATTTTCACCACTAGATTGAATTGTTATTTCTTTGGTGAGCTTTTGTTTAAGTAGTAAATTAGCGTCATGATTTCCTACTCTAGTATTCAAGACCTTGATGTGCGATGTAGCATATTTTAAAGCTTCTTTATATAATCCAAGAACTTTATACATTACACTTAGCTTTCCTATAACTTCTTCTTCACAATGAAGCCAATGTTCTCCGGTCAACTTATCATTGCTGCCTAAAACTTTAAAGACATATTGAGAGCTACCAGCAAGATTTTCATTCTCAAATTCCACTGTCCAATCTTGAATTGAACTGCTAGTGATGCTGGGCGTATTTGAATCGTTATCATGCGATGCATTAAGCTTGCTAAGTACATATCTACTGATTTCATCCGAATTTTTCTTATTGTCATAATTTTTACTACCTTTCTTTCCAACATACAACGCGCTTTCATAATGTAAAATAGCCATTTTGGTATCATTGATGGCAATATAGGCGCGACTTAAATCAAGGTGACATTTGATTTCAATATCATAGATGCTAAGATCGTTTACAAGTTTTAAGCAAGAATCGTATAAAGGCAAAGCCTTAGAGTAATCAGATTTCTTAAGATGGGTCGAAGCTAGCATATGAACAGCCATAGCATAGCTATACTGATTATACATTGAACCATGCTCAACAATACAGTCAAGGAGGGTTAATGCTATATCTTTGTGATTGCATTCCAGTAAAGCCGACACAATCACTACCAGCCTCCAGAGAATATCTCGTTCAATTGTTGCTATGATTAAAATTGAAAAAGATGTGAGCATATTTGAAGGATTATTCAATAATTTTTATAATTTTATATTAAGAAATAGCATTACTTTAGTTTATTACCATATATATGTAACTTTTGTTCAATACCGCACAAATTTGCTGACAGTTTAGTAATATTGTCGATGTATAAGACTCCGTCATCAAAATCATCATTTAATAGCTTGATATAGTTGTGAAAGTTAGCAATAATACTGTCTTGATTTTCTAATAAATTAAATGATTCCATAATGTGACATAAATGTTGAGATTTGGTACACTTTTCTTGGAGCTTCCTGTAATGAAAATACATAAGCTATTTTGTCATCATGGCACAATTAATTTCTTTTCATTTTATATCGTAATAAACAACGAATCATAGAAAACTTAACTGTAGTCTAATATAAAACTTGACACTTAGAAAGTACTGACTAGAACGATAACTTTACGGCGAATTTAAAAAATTTAAACCTGTAAAATGCGCATGGATAGATTTAAGCGTTGTGTGAAGGATATAACTCAATTGTTATTCTTGTTCACAGTCGGTTGTGATGTATTAATACTTTACTGATATTTATGATTACTACAACGTCTGGATTAAATTAGGTTTTTGATTACAAGTATCTTAAAAATGAATAATAGAGACTATTACTGAAATCAATAACGATATTATAGAATTTGTTAAAGCCTTTGTCGTCTGAAAGAAGCAGATACAATTAGTTACTTAATAAATATCTATAATAAATTAGTATTTACCTTTGATTTTCTAACAGCTGCTGAAAGTACCGGCATAAGTGTATAATTGCCTATTTGAGATTGCCAATCAATGTAGTGATATTTGCATCACTTTTTAATTTACTGAGCAATTGATTACTCTTTGCTAATCGATTAGAGTAAAATAATTATTGTATTATTGTGGCAGTGGAGAAAAGGTGAGTATGGCCAATCTGCTGCAAACCAATCATCGAGTCCAAGTGAACGCTAAACAACCTAACTACCGACTACCGATGTTTGTCGGATCATAACGTAGAGGAAAAGAAGTGAAAGCCTGCATGTACGCATATAAGATATTGAAAAAAATTGCGTACCACTGTCTAATTTGATATACATTTACAATTAAGAACCGAATAACTATCCTTCCTATATGTACGTATTAAAGTGCATCTTATCGACAATAACTCCAACGCAGTACAAATTCATCCAAGTATCCGCTTGATGCAAAAGATTACTGTATCAAGAGTCAATTTAGCCTAGTAGTATGTTTTCGATTTCCAGTATACGAAGTCATGTATATTATTGTGAATTACAGTGATTTTCTACCCTTGAATACTTGTATGGATAATTGAATCGATTTGATAATCATAAGAGCTTGCAGCAATTTCCGTTTAACTTTACGTTATTAGATAGCGTTGAAAGGAAACCATGGTAATTTGGCTTGTGCATGCGCATCGGACATTCAGGTTAATTCTACAGACTGCTAGAAGGAAAGCTGACAAAGCTTCCAATTAATTCATTTTTTCGAAGTTGTTTTTAAAGCCTTTTTTTGACGTCTATTATAAGAGAAATACTATCAGAAAATCGCTCATTGATGTAAAAGTAAATATCAACATACCGTATAACCATGGAAAAGTAAATTACATGCAGTTCCTATACAATAATACACTGAATATCTCTGCTTCAAGCAAGTTTGAATTACTGCTACTATATCGTTCATTCCTTCTACTGTGCTATATCTACTCGTAGTCCGTACCAGTACGGTTTGCGCATACTATAGAATCACGACTAGCATCCGGACAAGTACTTTACGACCTTAATTTTTCTACTTCGTTATTGTAAAAGTGGTCTTAGATTCTTACAAGAGATCTACAACTACTGTAATCTACAGTTATCATGTCCACATTGAATGAATTAATGAATGCAGTAAGATGATTAGTGTTACTGTACGCGTAGATTTACCTACAGTGCTATAGTCAGTTCGCAAACTGCAAAAATAGCAAAACACGTCCATCAGTGAATTCGTCTTTCTTTATAAATCAGAGAAATTATCTTTCTTCATGCAGTAATATTACTAAAAAAAAACCCAGAAAATCTCTATTTCTTGGATGATTTTAATAATAATAGACTAATTCAAATAATCAATACATAGGTAACTTGCAATTACTGAAGTAATTGCCAAACATTTAGAGATACTATTATCATTGAAGTAGTTATTATTGAATTGATAATATTCTGATTATGAAAATTATTATTTATTTTTACAAGCTCTCTGATTATGACATTTACTGCTACACTTAACATTAGCATTAAAACATTGCCATCGGTTAATAATACAAGATGTATGGCATTTTGCAAATTGACTAGGCATTTAGCCAATGGACTGGATTTTATACTTGGATGATAACACATCCTATCCCATTCGTTGCACTATTGTAATTGTAGATGTATTTCAAAATTGATGGAGCAACTTGAGGGAAGTATTGGAGCTTAAGGTGTATAAATAGAATGGGCTACTACAAGTAGACATGCCTTTGACGATTAGTTGGTCACTATCGCCGCTAAGCACATCTGGTTTATTACAAGAATGCCTTAACGATGCCAGATGCAGTTGTCCATGCTATCCCCCTTTGCACTCACAGTACAATAAAGTGAATAAAACTTTTCCAACTGCATTACTCCATCTGCCTCTACAGTGGAAAAAGAAACAAAAAACTGGATAACAATAATGCTCGTATACAGAGCATAGAGTTAGTGTATTTCTTTATAGTTAGTAATCTCTCGTAGGGCAAACTTCTCTATCATCATCACCATATCCCAAGGCTTGGATAGAGTAAAATCACTCCCAATATTCGGTCCATGTATGCCGTTTTCGTACTCTATCACCTCGTGACAAAAATCTATCTTTCACACTTTCACTATATCACGGGCATCGAGTTCATGACTCTATACAGTCTCGCTAAAAATGTTCCAATATGACTGATGAATGAGAGAGTGTTGTACCCTGTTGCAAATGATCTGATTAATTAATTATTATTGATCCCATTTTACTTTATTTGCTAGCCCAAACTCAGATTTCTTCATTTGATGCCATTTCATCATCATTTTTTGTATCTTGGTACACATACCAAGACTACAACTACCGTAAAAGGAATGCTTTTGCTTGCCTTGTCAGTTGTATTTCTTCTCTTTCTAAATTTCTTCCATTACTGTTTGTTTGGGCTGCAGCTCGACAATGGATCACACTATCGTCACTATGGACCATTTAGTGCAACGCTTCTTGTCCAAATGCAATACTAATCCATAGTTCGATTGGGCTGTATGCAACTCGACTTGCACCGATTCAATTTGTTAATAAAATCCAGGAAAGTAAACAAATAGAATCGGCAACAAAAAACGTCCAGATCGCATGGAATCTTTGCCTTTTATTTATTTACTCAAGCTGCATCATATCTAGCGTGCTATACACCTCCACATGTAGAGTACAACAACGCGATATTAACCTGCAAAAACTAATACAAGACTGTGCATAGAGTAGACACGATTCCGAAGCAACATGGAAAGTTGCCTTTTATGTCAATAGACTGCGTATGAATTAAAATTTCCTATTCATCAAGGCAGACACTACCTTCATTTAACCTCCATTTCTCCTTGTATATCAATCAATCAATCGGTAAAAGGATTGGATCATCGCCAGATATTTTCACTTGTTATAGCTATTGCAGTTCAAAATTGCCTAGTGATCACAACGATCTATACAGCACATTTCACTTGAAAGATTATACTCAGCGTGCTTGCAACTGGATACAAGGTAAAGTAAAGCATAAAAATAGCCAGCCTAGCGATCAGATACTCCGATTGTACAGCTGTCTAGGTAGATTCATTTGCGTTATTTACAACTTCAAGTTATATCGTAGATGTGGTCATTTTCTGACTTAATTCATTGATTTAAAAGTGTTGAAAAATCTTGTAAAATCCTTTCGTACAGCAAAAATAGATGAGATATTGACCCTTGGACGAGGCAGTCTCTTGTTAACAGTAGTATGATGCATTGCTAAAAAGTAATTCGCCATGATGGTGAATTTTTCAATTGGATAAAACCTCCAAACTTATCAAGCCTACGTACGTTGATTTTGAACAAGTGTTAATTTTTCTCTGCCTGGATCAACCATAAGGTTAATCAATATGCTTAATATTAAAGTGATAATATATCAATAGTATAGGCGTAGAATCGGTTACCTAAAAAAAAGTAGTAAAGGATCGCTGCCATGCCATGCTCTACATGAACACCAACTTCATTTATTTTATTATTTACAGTACATTTTGAACCATTCTTACAAAATAACTTTAGAATTAAAGTTGCATACCAAATACCTATCTTGAATGTAGTATCCGTATCTGTCGATTACTACCATTCAGTGATAGATCCAATTTAATTTTATGGATACTCTTTAGCCCTTTAGAAAAATTGCAATTTCTGAATAGGATTAATTGCAGATCTAAGCTTTCATCATATCAAATACGGTCATGCTGATGTCGACGTATCATTTTATTCGTCTTCTGGCTGATTTTAATGACTTTTCACTGTAAATCATCCATGTGTTCTGACGTTGATTATACGTTGAATGACTAATAGCATTACATGAGTACATGAATAAGGATAAGTTAGCCTCCTATCGAGTTTAGAGCACTTCGTTTCAACAATAAAATGATAAAAATACAACAATTACTATATAAATTGCCAGCGATGATTTAATATATCCATTGCAATAGCAATGCGGAGCACCTACAGTATAGCTGTCAAGCTATTCCTTCGAACGAAATTATTACAAAAATGTAATATTGGCAGCTTTATTAGACAGTTTTGCTTCTTAGGAGCATTTATATTTTTAATTTGTGATCCAAGGTGGACTCCATAATAAAATTTGAACTGTTGAAGTACTAAGTGTCTCTTGCAGTATACGTACAGGATAGCGCTCTGTAATCGATCCATACTAGTCTTGATCATAGAAAATAATTTAGGATAAAATCGTTTTATTTTACCATTTTTTCAGCCCTATTTCGGTTATAACGTCCATGCAATTGTTTGTATAGTGCAATAACAGCGTACTACTATGGTGGCTATAATTGTTGTCATCATTTATCAACTAATCAATAAAATATGAGATAAATTCATACCTGTTAATACAGCATACTAGCGGATAGAATCGCTGCTGTGAAAAAAACTATAGTACAGTAAACTTATGGATTGCTTTACCTCCGAAAATACAAATACTGTACACTACGAAATCGACGATACCAACTACTTCACTACTCCAAGTTATAGATCGGAAACCAAATTGTAATCTTTAATTCATTTGATCAACTCGCTCCGTCAGCAAATAATTACAAGTAATATTGATATATCGTATTAGCTCTTATTGCGGTGCTCAACATAGAAATTTCTGTCAAGATTTCAAATCACTCAATTAATACGGCTTGTCTTGCCAAATAAAGTGGATAGAAATAATGAAGTTTGCCACTTTAAAGCAGGATTTGAAAGCGTATCACTACTGCATGTACAAATGAAGAATTTAACGTTTAGTACGATATGACATTAAATCGAATACGATTGATATTTTTGCGAAATAGGTCTACAAAATGATGCTAGCACATCAAGAATCTCTTCCCCGTTTACCTGTACCACGACTACAAGAAACGTTAACCAAGTACTTGCGTTCATTAAAAGCTCTAGTAGATGATAATGAATACCAATCAAATGAAAATATTGTTAAGGAATTTGGTCAACCTGGAGGAATAGGAGACAAATTAACAAAGATGATTCAACAGAAAGCAAAAACACACGACAGCTGGGTAAGAATCGTATAGTATGCTATACTGTATTAGATAATACTATACGTTTAAAGCTCGACCATTAAAGAGTAAATGAAATAGACTACCAATGCAATGTGCTTGCAATTATCTACGGTGAAGTGCGATATAGTTAGTATTCAGTTTCTCTTCTGCAATACTAATTAAGTAAAACTTATGTGTGCAAGGAATTGTAGTGGTAAATATAACGACTGAACTGGATGTGATATTTGATGAGGAACTTGACCTTCCATTTCTTTAGTAATTAAAATGCTCTATTCCTCTAATATTTATTCATCTTTTATACCAGTTACACGATTGGTGGATGAAGAGCGAGTACCTGGATCCACGGTATCCCATATGTGTACATACCAGTCCGGCATTTCTGTTTCCGAAACGCTCATTTCGAAAAAAGAGCCAGCAAATTGAGTGAGTAAATGCAATGAAAGTTGATCTAATTAATTATCGCTACTTATCACTGCTCAACCTTACCTAAATATTCCTATCTGATCAAACTTTAAACATAAATTTAACATTGGATGTCATTAGTTTTCATATTATATTATCAATATTTTAAAATATTTTTTTATTTCGCTCAATTTCATGTTTAGTTATATGGATGAATTTACCGTAAACTGCTTGTCTCTGTCATTAATAACGACCTTGATTCGTGTTATAGATTTGCCGCCAAGATGATTATAGCTATAATCGAATTTTACTATAAAATCAAGGGGTTAGTTCCATTTTGTTTAAAGTTTGTGATTACGTTCTATAACATTAGGTCATTGTGCACCACAATAAATATGATTACTTTTATAGAATAACGGAAACTCAATTAAACTAATGGATAACTTATTATTAAGCAGTGAATATCTGATAAAATGCAATCGATAAATCTTAGTTGCCACTTTGATACAATTAAAGTTAATACTTCTTCTCTGCAGAATATACTAATCGATAGATTGCAACTACCATCTTCAAGAAGCTCTTATTCTATGTAGTCTGTATCCATTATTGAAAATGAATATACAATCTTTCTGTTTGCATGATATTTACAATTATACATCAGCGAGGATCTACCTGTGGATAAAAGCGGTAAGCACCCCGTGTGTATGGTGCAGTACACAAAACTTTTCTATTCCTGTCGCATTCCTGGAAAAACTGCCGATAGTATTGCTCAATGTTCTCCAGAACCTGGACAGCCGGAGTTTATCGTTGTAGTACATAACAATCACGTAAATATGATTACTACTTTTCGATATAAGCTTACATCAGTATATCGTATATTTATACCAAATAATTATCTTTCTTTGGATAGTTTTTTGCAGTCGAAGTAGCGAAAAACGATCAAATTTACAGTCGGGAGATGATTGAACAACAGCTTAATTGTGTATTTGAAAAATCATGGAGGCCTGCACCGCCAATTGGTGTACTAACAACATCAGATCGTGATTCATGGTTCAAGTCATATGATCTGTTGATGAAAGGTGAATACTCATACATACGTATAATTAATAAAAATTGCTACTCTAATCGTAGTATGCAATACAATGCCAGGCTGTTGATGGTACCCCAGATAATAAATATCAATTTTGCTGTACTTTACAGATCAGATGAGCGCTGAGTCGATCGAGAAGATTCAAAAATCGATGTTCATGTTATGTTTTGATCAAGATAATTCTGGTTTAAATAATGTACAGTCACATCTCTTCATGGATAATGATGATGGTAGCCGCAATGCTTCATATGGACAAATGCTGCATGGAGGAGGTAGTACAAAGAATACACCCAATCGTTGGTTCGATAAGACCTTACAGGCAAGTATTGTCATTAATTTAAATTAACTTAAGAGCATATTCAATATTAAACTATTCAATGTTAATTTACAGTTTATTATAAACTCTAATGGTGACAATGGCTTAATTTATGAACATTCGGAATGCGATGGAACACCAGTTATGAATTTAGTCGATTACATTCTATCTCGGTGGTAAATATACGTAGAGTTTCAATAAAAGATAATCTATCATCATTTAACTGTTGAACAATTGATGACAATTAAGAAGTCATATTGAGATCTCTATTTATTCAAGTTTCTAATTACCTATATTCCTAACTCCTTTAATACTGCAAACTTTCTATTTTCCATTCTAGTGACAATATAACTGAAAATGAGTACAAAGACACCAGTAGTAATACTGTTGCTGTAAAAGACTTAAATTTCAATGTAGATAATGATACTATAACGGCTATCAAGGATTCTATTCTGAAGATTGATAAGTATGTTATATCTAAGCAATGTATAGCTGGATATGAAAGATAACGAGCTCATAAATTATCTGCTTTACTATTATTTTCATCTAGACTGATTACCAGCTTGAATTTACGATCACTCAATTTTAAAGATTATGGTAAAAATTTCATAAAATCGCAATCTCTGAGTCCTGATAGTTTTTTTCAAACGGCAATGCAAATAGCATTCTACAGGTAAGAAAGGGATCACCCAAAATTGCGATCTATTATAGGAAATAGTATGAACAAAGTATTGTATAAAGGAATAATTTATCTTTAATATTACGCCATGTATTAGGATTCATAGTAGGATGGCTTCCACGTATGAAAGTGGGTCAACTAGACTATATCTTCTTGGTCGAACTGAAACTATACGTTCTGCTTCACTTGAAGCTAAGGCGTTTGCAGAAGCAGCCTTTTCTGATGATATTGAGGTATTTCCTACTTTATTATTTTGCATATGTTGCAAATGCAACTGTGAATATAACAAAGTCGATTCACTGTATATTGTGCTGTAGTTGTACGGTTCTGTTAAATAAAAATGCTATTACCTTAAAACTTGAAACTACATCTTATTAGGTCTCTGTAAAGCGTGACTTATTAAAACAAGCAATTGTGGCACACAAAAAACTTGCGTCAGAGGTATACGAACAAAAAACTGTGACTGCTTATGTTATATTGACTCTTTTTATCAGCAGTTAGATTTAACTAGCATGCATAACCTTGTTGCCCTTTTCTGCAATTGCAGGCCAATGTAGCCCAGGGTTGGGATAGACACTTTCTGGGAATGAAAATGGCAGCGGAAGAAAATCTATCTGAAATGCCAAAATTGTTTACAAGCTCAGGATTCGTTAAGAGTTTCTTCATTGAGTTGTCCACAAGCCAGGTTATTAGTAAAATACGATAATGGCGGTAACTAAAGCATAAATACGTAAGATTTTAGTCGAATAATAGTTAGGTTATATGTTTGATTAATTGTGTTCGCGTTATCTATTATCAGGTACCTTTTAAGCATCCAATTTGTATGAGCTTTGGACCAGTAAACTCCGACTGTTACGGTATTGGATATAATTTACTTCCTGACAATATCTTATTCATTTGTACAACTTTTAACGATTCCACAGCAACAAATCTCCTGGACTTTGCAGAAGCTTTGCAATTAAGTCTAGCAGAAATGAAGAAAATTCTGACCCAAGAAACTTAATTTCAACACGATTTTGTATTTTGCATTTCCAGTATCAAATTATTAACTTTTTTCATTAACCTGCGCGAAGGTGATTTGAAGACGATTTCGAATGCATAGATTTTCTTAGGCCTTAACCAATAATAGGGCAATGAATTTAATTAATTAATTTCACCGAAAATGGTAACGATTACGTATAATTTCGAAAACTTTAATTTATTGTTGATAATAATGTTGAATGGAAGATATAATTTTATTGTTTTTTGCTGTCAACTTCATTCATATTGATGTAATTGCCAACATGTTAAAATGATGAAAATCAAAAATTCAATACACTTGTAGCTAGTTATCAAAATTTTCTTGCAATAGTATACACAGTACTATAGCAAAGTGCTGTACTCAAAAGCCAATGTTTTGTGCTTGAATAGTTTTTGTGATATAAGATTTTTCGACATAAGGTCAAAACTAGTTTCTATTTTGACACTTAGAGCGAAATAATTCCAAGTTCATATTTTACTATTTTACCGCTTTGTTTAGCCTTATAATCAATTTAGATGATATTTAGCTAACGCAAGCTATAATGGTACAATCTTTACGAAAGTGATTCACTGCTACACATCATTAATGAATTAATTTGCAAGCATCTCTTATCTCTTATGAAATATAGACTCATAAGCATAAATCTCGAGTGGTCTCTTTCACTATTTACTGCGTTTCAGTTAAAATAAAGAAAGCTACTCAAGTAGCTGCCTTGTTCATCGAGTCTCATTACTCGCTTCTGATAACAATAGAAATTTTTAAATCAAAATTGATATTTTGTACATTCTGTAGTACATCGACTTTGGTATCATTTTAGTTTATATAGCCTTACTGCTAAATTTTGGTTCAAAGAACGTTAAGCAGTGAATGTTTTGTTGCCCATAATTTATTGCATGCATCAAAATTGTATTTCTTAGATATGTACTAGTAAAACACTGGAATGAACATGAGTAATACCGATATAAGGGTATTGCATATTGCCTAGTATGTAAGACAGTCACTAAAGTTGCGTAAAAATCTATTTATCTAATTAAAGAAATAAATCTCCAAATTAAAAGACTGGAAGCAATTTTTAATCGTATGAATCACTACACTACGAGATTTCGAGAAAAAAGTTCGATTTGAGCACATGCCATTTCAGTATAATACAGTAAATAGTAAATTGCATAACCCATTAATTAATATGCAACTTCGGGATGTGATTTATAGAGAAAGTGATAGTTTATTCATTAACTTGATGAATTACAGACCACGCACTAATTATAGCTTCCTCGGTTTAGCCTGATAGCTTTAAAACTAAATTTATCATAAATTAGTAAAATCTACTCAAATAGTATTCAAATAGCCCGTAATTACGGTACTTAAAATACAAAGTCAACATTACAAGCAAATTTCGATAACAACTTATTAATGTATTGAATTTTTTAATTTTCACTAGCTTAACACAATGGAAATTACATCAACATGAATGAAGTTAACTGCATAAAGCATAAAAACTATATCTTCAGTCGACATTATTTATTAGTAATAAATTAAACGTTAGAAATTATACGTAATCTTTACCATTTTCGATAAAATTAATTAATTAATTGAATTAAAAATCCAGTTATTGATAAAACCACTTATAACGCTACAAATCCGAGATTGCTTACTAAATTATTTTCACGTATAGACTAACGAAACTAACAATGATCCGATACTGCACCGTAAAATGTAATTCGTAAATCTTTTTTTTTAATTATTTTTCTTGGATCAAAATTGTCTTCATTTCTGCTAGACTTAATTGCAAAACTTCCACAAAGTCCAAGAGATTTGTTGCTGTGGAATCATTAAAAGATGTACAAACAAATAGGATATTGCCGGGAAATAAGTTGTATCCAACGTTATAGCAATCTAGGTTCACGGGAGCAGCACTCGAACATACTTGATGCTTAAAAGGTATCTAATAATAAATAACATGAACCTTGTCAATAAAAATTTCTTACCATTTAGTTAATCGCGCTATCGAATTAATTTTAAATAATTACCTGGCTTGTCGATAATTCAACATAAGAACTCCTAATGAATCCTGAACTTGTAAACAACTTCGGCATTTTAGATAGGTTTTCTTTGGCTGCCATCTGCATTCCTAAAAAGTGTCTATCCCAACCCTGCCCCTGATTAGCCTGCAATTGCAAAAAATATCATACATCATATTGCCGACATGGGCAATTTAAAAATAATTTAAGGGCAATATGTATTCATTTTACTTTTGATTTGAATTTTTCGTGTACCATAACTGCTTGCTTTAACAAGTTACGTTTTACTGATATCTAATAAGGTGCAGTATTTCATTTAAAAGGTTAACAATATTGATTTTAATTAACAGAGTGGCATACTAAAGTAAAACAACTTAACAAGCTATGATCTAGTTACTTCGACATTATTAGAAAAAGCTACTTCAGCAAAAGCCTTAGCTTCCAGTGTACTAGGGCGTATAGTTTCAGTTCGACCAAGAAGATATAGCCTAGTTGATACAATTTGGTGTGCACAGGCTATCCGATTATGAATTCTAATGCACATTGGAAAGCATTAATATTATATTACAGATGAAGTATTCCTTTATACGATACTTTGCTATTGCTAATTTCTATAATGGATTGTAATTTAGGCAGATGAAAGTCTCACCTGAAGAATGCTATTTGCATTGCTATTTGAAAGAAACTATCAGGACTCAAAGATTGCGATGTTATAAAGTTTTCGCCAAAATCTTTAAAATTAATTGATCGCAAATTCAAGTTGGTAATCAGTCTAAATAAAGTAGTAGTAAAGCATATAATTCATGAGCTCTTAAACTTTCCATATTCAGCGATACATCTCTACAAATACAACGTACTTATCAATCTTCAGAATAGAACCCTTGATAGGCCCGATGATATTACTGCTTATATTGAAATTTAAATCTTTTACAGCGACATTATTACTACCGGTGTCTTTATATTCATTTTTAGTCATATTATCACTAGAATATAAAGCAATAAGACTCAGTACTTATTATTAAATAACATACACATTGTTTATTATAACCGTAATCAAATACGAAAATCTTAAAAAGGCTTTTTAATTATATCAATTCTTCAATAAATAATTAAATGGTGATTGATTATCATTTACTGAATATCTTGCATATTCTATTTACCACCGAGAAAGCATGTAATCGACCAAATTCAGGACTGGCGCTCCATCGCATTCCGAATGTTCATAAATTAAACCATTATCGCCATTAGAGTTTATTATAAACTATAAATTAATATTGAATAGTTTAATACCAAAATACGGGCGAATTTAATTCTATTTAACTTTAAAGAAAATACTTACCTGCAGGGTCTTATCGAACCAACGATTGGCTGAATTTTTTGTACTACCCCCTCCATGCAGCATTTGTCCATATGAAGCATTGCGGCTACCATCTCCATCATCCAAGAAGAGATGCGATCGTACAGTATTTAAACCAGAATTATTTTGATCGAAACATAACATAAACATCGATTTTTGAATCTTCTTAATTGACTGAGCATTTGTCTGATCTATGGAATAAGTATAATTAACATTTAGAATACATCTATAGAGTGGCATTATAGAAGTCGAGCATCAGGATTACATCGTATATTACTATGACAGTAGCAGTTTTTATTAGTTATACGTATGTCTGTGTTTCCACCTTTCATCAATAGCTCATAAGACTTGAACCATGAATCTCGATCTGATGTTGTTAGCACACCAATAGGCTGTACAGGCCTCGATGATTTTTGAAATACATAACTAAGCTGTTGTTCAATCGTCTCTCGACTGTAGATTTGATCGTTTTTCGCTACCTCGATCGCAAAAAACTATCCAAAAGAATTATAAATATTGCTATACATTATATGATAAAGAGTAATAATCTGTAGTAACCTTTGGCATAAGTCATAGTATTACTATTTGTAGCTTGTACTTACGTGATTATTATGTGCTATAGCGATAAAGTCTGGCTGCCCGCATTCTGGAGAATATTGAGCAATACTATCGACAGTTTTTCCCGGAATGCGACAGGAATAGAATATTTTATTGTACTGCATCATACATGCTGGCTGATTACTAATTTTATCCACAGGTAGATCCCCGCTAGTAATTAAATATAATTATCGTACAAACATAGTTATTAAACTCAGTTTCAGTTGAGTGATACTATATAGCGTATGCTGATTCTATCATGACAGCTGCTAGGATTCGTCTAATGTAACTTATCAAATATTTACTTTTTACTAATAACTATTTTAGTCGTTGATTTAATCGAGAGTGCTGCAATACTTCTCAAATATGGCGGCATCTCTTTTTATGGAATCTCAATAATTACTTAGTCCTATCCAAGCTCGATCACAAGTTCTAAGCAAAAAATTGAACTAACCTTTTGATTTTGTAATAAAATTCGACGATACTTATGATCAACTTAGCGGCAAATCTGTATAAGAAGAAATCAAGGCTATCATTTGGAATAAAAGCAAGTAATTTTATGTATATCGATCTTCGTTATTCACGAAAATCCAATGAAGTACAAGACTCATACTAGTGTCATATTAAGAAGTTATAGCTACTGATGCAATATTTAAAGTCCGATTCGATACTGTATGAATATTAATTACACTATAAATAAAATGAAGAATATATGTATTTAGTCAAGGCTAGTTACGTATGGGTTGTATTTATTTTAATACATTTACTTACTTAATTTGCTGGCCCCTATCTCGAAATGAGCGTTTCGGGAATAAAAATGCTGGACTATTGTTCAGACAAACAGAACTCCGTTGATTCAAATAAACACTATGCTCCCACCAATCGTACAACTTTAATAAAATAAAAATAAATATTTGAGGGATACAGCATTGAGTATCATGAAAGTAGCTGATCAATGGTTTAATAGATATAGCATACTACTCAGTTATTACATTACTCTAATTATTCGGTTATAGGCTTAACATTTTACTTAAATTGCTAGAGAAGGAAAGCTGAGTGTTATGTTTTGGGGGTAATGTAAACAACAACAACAATGTTTAGTTCACGCTATGCTTTATTGACAGTTTTAAACCATAACTACATGTGTTTTTCACACGATATATTGTACGATGTTTACCCAATTGTCATGTGTTTTTGCTTTTTCTTGAATTATTCTTGTTAATTTCTCTCCTACACCTCCAGCTCGGCCAAATTCTTGAACGATTCGTTTGTTTGATTCGTATTCATTATCATCTATCAGTGTCTGTAATGAACGTAAATATCTCGCCAATGTTTCGTGAAGCTGTGGTACAGGTAAATGAGGAAGAGATTGTTGACATGATAACATACTGGGAGCTTGTTCTGTAAATGTATCGATCTTCCTACACATAAACTTTATGTTACGTGTTAATCTTTGACTGCAGAGTAATAAGTAATCTTTCCACAGTAATCCAACTTATTTAACTTAATTCGATCGAAGCAATGTATATAATCATAAAGCGTTGAACTAACAAGAGTTATTCTTATTAATCTTATAGATGGAGCATTACAGGTTGTCGTAATGAAATGATAATGTTACTACTGTATGTTGTTGTACAGTGCTGTACAGTATACATACGAGCATTTACCGACACCAGTATTGATAGCGTGATCTTATACTTGTATTTCAACATTTAAGATTTTGTTACTTTTTCTTAATGTAAATCTATGACTAATGTAGACGTTAGCCATTATAAATCCCATACCCTGCTGATATATTTGTGTAGAATAAAATAATAAAACCCTATACCACACCAGTATATTATTCAGTTTATCCCGGTGAAGGTTCTATTTTTCTATTCTTTGGCATCGCTGCATTATAAATTGTTTACAATGCAGCTGTGGCAACGGATACAGAAAGGGAATCCCTGTCGTGATAAACTGTATAATTTTTAATGTACTGATACAATATACATGTACCCTTACATACAGCAATATCAGCGTGATACGGAGTCTATGATCGCTAACGACTATATTATATATTATTTGTAGTCTCATACTGAAAAACAATATAAACTATAAAGCAATATCTGAAAATTAAAATAAATTGCAGGCTACTTACTTCTCATAGATTTCTCAACGTGTAAAATAGTAATATCTATCCGTATAGTAAAATACAATTTTACTATAATTATTAATTCAAGATAGCAATAGTACTAAGGTGCGATTAGCTTATTGACTAGCTAAAGGTTATGCAAGCGATAAAACATTCATTTCACTGAAAAGGGTAAAGATCCCATAGAATGTGTAGCACTATTTATTCGTATGTTATTGATAATTATTGTAATGCCCAGTGGAAGTTATCTTTTTGTCGTATGCGATTAGTTTTATTTATTAAAATAATCTAAATTTACTTATAATGAACATCTTGATTCTTTGAGCTACTATAAATGCGGATGTTATCATGATGACATGAATGTAAAACAGATTACTGCACTGCATGATTCCATTATACCATTATTTTCGTATTTGGATTGTAAAATTTTATATGGCGTAAACTTCTTTCAACAGAAGTCTTAAATTATCCTTTATTTTTGATGCATACAGATAAAGTTAAATGATTTAAAAAGTTATGTTCAAATTTTTTTAGTGGGTTATGTGGTTTTCCATGAGTTTATAGGCATTTCGTTGGGACACACCATCACGGTAAATTCATAAATCACTAATTAATCAGTTAAACCAGTTTCCTAGCGTCTAAAGAGAAGAGTACGATATAGTTTATTGCCTATGATAAATTATAAAATTACGAGTAATTAATCCAAATGTTCTTTTCTACGGTTGCTGGATTCTACTTAAAAGTAAACAGCTCGATTGCCTACGCAGTTTATCTCATCTTCATATGATCCTAAGAGCAGAAGGAGTCTTCAAAGTTAGTAAATACTCGTATACCTGTATAGGAAAATTTAAGATATATAACATGTAAGAATAATTCTTCTACCTACAAGTAAACTCATTTATGATCGAATGAATATCATGATATGAATAATTGTATTACTATCTAGTTCTTAGGTATAATAAATTTACATAGTTTATAATGCTACTGCAGTACGATACTTTATGCTTGCTGTGCAGTACAGTATATTGAACCTGTTTCCTCAGTTTCATTTCATATAGCTTATAATAGATTGTTTGTGAGTAGCCGGTAGGTTGGAAAGAAAAATATAAATGATCTCCACAAAAAGGAATACAACAATTAATGGGTATTTGCTAAATAACGTATAGATTGTAGTAATTGTAAGTTAGAATCTTTTTAGATTTATTGCTTTTTGACATTGTCGCAATATACGTCTATTATTCGTATTTCTTATGCCAAGTGTATATAGCTACAAGGCAATAAGCATTCTAAATATATTTTGCCTAACCGGAAGCTTGATAAGTAAGATGAATTTGGTATCAATATTAGAAACGGAATCGTTTGCTAAATTTTAAGAGTTCTATCTAATAGGTCTAGGGATATTCTATTTCTATGAAAATGTATAGCACTTTTTTGAAAAACATTTCCTATCTGTTGAACACTCAATACGCAAGATAGATCTGGCTTCAACACGAGTATCTACAAGAAACTAAAGCGTCTGTGAATTTATAAGCATTCTATCTAATTTGATCTAATATTTTAAGTGATTTTGAAGCATTTACGATGGCGTAAGCTTTAATACTTAGTATACGAGGTTACTGTCGATTTTCATTACTGTTATTATAGTATTGTACAATTAATGGATTGTCAAATTACCGATATCCTATTTTGATCAATGTATTAAAGCACTACTCCTACCTATTTGTAGATTAATGTCAGTATAAACTGGGATAGTGTCTTAGGTAGTTAATTAAAGATATGATTAGTGCATGAGGGTAAGATATCGTAGTTGTTAGTGGTATGACTTAATTCAGAGCTAGCTGAATTGAAGCTATGCGTTAAATTTAGAATCCTGTTTTGTTAGAGTAGGAATATGTATAGTATGACAGATTATCACGTGCTGAATTGAAGAAATTATTCCATGACGTTCATACTTACATAAATAGAACATGTACCTGACCGATTTGAAGAGATGATAATCATAAGATATAAATTGAATTATTAGTAACATATGAACATGGCCATTTCATCATTCAGTAATAATTAATATTTTAATTAGGTTAACATGGTAGCATTTATTTAGCCTTACATCATCAATTTGGCAACAATGGATGGGCTACAAGATTCTGAGAAGGTATCACAAAAAATTGAATCTGGTTCCTTTTATTACCTGTAACAAATTATTATGAAATTAATTTCGTCATAATCAAGAAATCTTGGCTAATCTGTTGATATGCGTAATCGATTTTTTTATATATCATAAATAATTTGCTTTTCAAATAGCACTTTTTCTACAATAAAAGTCACATCATTAACCGAGCACTGTACAGTAATTGGTCAAAAGACACATATGTGAAACACTGTGTTAAGTCTAATTTCAGGGTTAGGGTATTAGAAGTTATCACTCAGTAGTGTGGAAGAAGCTTTAAATACTTTGATTATGATGTTTCTACAGCTATTTACTCCACTGTGGTTAAGGATAATTCTAACTTTCCCTATGGTACCCTATATCCATGTATAAATATTTATGAGATACTGTGATATATTTAAAGAAGAGCTGTACCAGTATTGTACAGAAATTTTATATCTACTATTCGTGCGGTTTTAAAATGTACGAATATTATCGTTATCGAAATAAGCTGAAACCTTTAATAAAATTGCAATACGGCTAAAAAAGTATGATAATTTTTATTAAGGCAAAAATTAAGCGGAACTCTTATTGCGTAACGGTTCGTTGCTAACGTAAGTAGGTAAATACTTTATTTACGATTGAGTATAAATAGATTCTATGATTAGAATTGTTAATCATATGTTTTGTCTATTTTATGCTATTTATTTGTAAAAAATAATCCCTGTACATACGTCGTATAATTAGGTATTTTTAAAAAAGGCTAAAATTAGAGAATAATGGGTTGCACTTATCCGTAACTGCAATATAGTCTGTCATGGTTTATGAACATCTGGAGTGGGATAAATTACCGGTAATGCAAGATGGATCTTAAATATGAAAAAAAGTCTCGTGTATTAGGATTAAATAGTTAGGATTAAGATTAATAAGGGAAATCAATGATAAATTGCAACTGTTTTCATGTCTAAGATCTATTTCATACCGGCTTGCATTAGTACCGGTATCATATTAAATTGGAGATTAAAATAAAAAAATGAATGAGAGACTCATCGAATTGTAAGGGCAAATCTGTTGCTAAAACGAATTATCCTTAATTAATCTAGTGATAGAAATATAATCAGAGGAATATTCGATGTATCTGTCGTATTCGCTGGAATGCTTTGGAGCCCTTGACATTTAATTCAATTTAGAATGAGTTAGCGGGTGGTCGAATTGAGAATCTTTAATATCACTAAAAGGACAATGCATTCATTAGTGGCATCTATTTAGGACCGATCGAGGTATTTTTATTATAAATTGAGATACTATTTAAGCCTAATCCCTTTCTCTTCAGAGTTTGAAAAATTTCGTCGCGCCATCTTAGGTGAAGGAGTGAAGAATTTGATATCTGAAGCACAAAAAATTAAACTTTCTAACGTTCTTTCGATCAAGATGACATCGATGAAATTGATAACGATCAGTTTAACGATCGCTCTTGTCTGCCATTTCATGGCACCAGTTGAAATGTAATTATATTTGTCATTTTATCTTTTCGATGAAAGTATTCAATTACATTTTTTTAAATCCGAGTTCGAGAATTTAATACCGATAGACTTGTTCTAAATTTAAAATTTAATCAGGAATAAAATGATAATTTTGACTTTGTCACTATCTTTTTATCTAGGGGTATCTTGAGGTAGGTTATTAGCAATCATATTCAGCAAATACGCACGTATAACCGACATTATTATAATAATTATATTGATGGAATGGTGAATCTTACTTTTGTGCTATTTTCCGCAATGTGACTTTGGCGGATGGTTCAACTCTTTGAAATCGTATGAAAAAGTAAGTCAATTTTTTGGACATTATTCACTGGAAACTCGTTGTAATAGTTAATAAAATTTAATAATATTTCATACAATTTCGACTTAGTAATGAATAAATCCATGCAATGATTTTCCATCCAATTTTAATGATACGAAAGCAAACGATCGTAAGTTATCTATCTTGATATATGAGAATATTTGTCTCCATTTTGTGCGCGTATAGGGTGCACACTTTGCCGTTATATTGTATATTAATCAAATGACCGTTTCTTTCCTTCTATCTGTGTCATTTAGGGGAA